GAGGCTTGGTAGCCAATAGAGAGGCAGAGGTGGGAGAGTCGGTGATGAGATTGAGCAGAGTCAAACATTCCAGAACGTGCTCTGCGAGATTTGAGACGCACACAACAAGCCTTGGGTACATGTAGAGGTAGGAGCAAGTCATGGATATGGAGATCCTTCAGAGAAACGCTGTCACCAGCTTTACAAAACTGCACGTAAAAGCACAAGAATAAAGTATTTTTTAAAATTGTTACTTTTAGTGTTTTTCCTTTCATTTTTAATTAATTTGGAATGTGCCTCTGAAGGTCATAGCCCCCTCCTCGTCTGGGGGTGTCAATTTGCTGTCTATGCTGGCCCAGCTCACCCACCTACATAATCTTTTATGTAGCTGTCAGAGTAAGAGCTAAGGTTAGGGTGGGGGAAGGGTTAGAAGCACTGTCAGGTCTGTATCGATGATTTAATTCTCATCTGGTAGATTTTCCTCACACTTCCTGTGCGGTTTCCTGATCAGGAAGCGGAGGGCAAATCACCTCAATGGAGACAGAAATCGGTAAAAAGCTGGTGAAGGCTTTAGCCCTTCTGTGCACCCTCCAAAAAAAAAGTAGTAGCTGGAGATCCACTTTAAAATGAGCACTTTGTTCCTTGCTGTATTATTTTTCCACATTTTCTCTTTATATTCTGTCCGGCTTTATAATACTGCCTGCGTGTGCAGTCTGGTACAAACATGCATTCAAATCTGTTCAATCCTTATTAAGTCACCTTCTTAAAATGCCATTCTCATGACAACATTTTGGTGTCTAAGCTGCTTCTATAAAGAAAAGCCTCTGCAGTGTTCCGGACACACAGACATGTTGCGTTACTAAGAATTGGGACACGTCTGATACCACGCTTTCCCCTGGGCAGAGTAAAGGTCACCACACAGGTTACAATCAAACCTCGCAATCAATTTTAGATTTACCAAAACTATCAAATATGAGGGCGGGTCTAATCTAACCAATGCATTTTATACAACCGGGCAGGTCCTTGCACTGTGTATTTTATGGTGGCTTTATAGGAGATTGTACAATCGGATTGCAAAGTACCGTATTTTGCGATCCATAACACGCACCTAACCATAAGACGTGGGGTAGGGTTCTGTGTAGTACCTGACAGCGAAGACGTGATGATCGCCGCTGCTCCTTTCATACAAGTGATCTAATCAGATCACTTGTATGAAAACGAGCGGCGGCTCCACATTATACATTTAGCTCTTCTTGTCCGAAGCTGGGCTAAAAGTACAACAAAAACAGGTGATAGGGATTCCACACCCCTGGGTACGCTGTCAGCCCCGCCGCCTCAGCTCTCACACATTCGCTCCATAAGACGCACAGACATTTTTGCCCGCCTTTTGGGGGGGAAAAAGTGCGTCTTATGGAGCAAAAAAATAGGGTATGTGGGGAGCTTTTAGCTGGTCATATACTTCTTGAATTTGGGCTCAAGAAGTCAGCAGGGATTTGGGACTTTGCTGACCTGCATTTGATGCACATCCCAAATGCACATCATAACGCCTATGAAGATAAGCCATTAAACTCCGGAAAAATTAAAAACTTAACCTTGCAATGGGGCTACCCCGCTTGCAGTGCTAGTTTTTGTCTACGGGACTCGCATAAAGCAGATTTACTTACCTGATTCTGAGTCACCCCGGCTGGGCTGGCCCTTTAAATAGACCGGATGGTTTATGTTTAATGACAGAACTGTGAAGATTGTCAGCATGTGACTGAGGGAGTGCCTGGCATTGCCCTGTGTGGTGGTCATAACATTCTCATACTATTCTGTGCCCCTCATACGCCCTCACCTACTAATTTGTGAGCAGCTGTCATGTCCATCCGGCATCTTCAGCTTCTTTACCGGCCTTTTTGGCTGCCTTTCTGTGCGCATTACTCAGAAGATGGACGCTGGGCAGCTGAGGACAGCGGCAGAGGAAAGGTGTTGTGTCTTCCCTCAGGGAACAGCTGTTGACATTATTGTGTCTGGTAGGAAGTTGGATATTACAGCCGGGCTTGTGGGATTTACTTATTTCCTTTTTAAGTGATACGTCTGCTGACACGAGGATGTGTGTAGATCTGATTACATGGTCCGTTCACTGATCTCTTTCTGTAGCGAGAACTCATTATCGGGGTCCCTCCAAAAATGACCGTAATGGGAACGATCACTTTTCTTTTATCTTCACGATTTAATGTAAATGTGAATCCAGATTCGGCGAAGGACACTATGTGCCTGGAGTGTGTGGGGTTTCCTCCGTGTACTGTGGTTTCTTCCCACACTCTAAAGCTGCCCATACACCTTGCGCTCATCGGACGACACTTTTCGTCCGATGATCGAACCGTCGTACGATTTTCGGGCGGCGGCCCCATCCTGCCCCGATTATCGCAAGGTTCAAGCAGCAGTAATTAGAAGAAAGCACCTGGACTAATTGCGGTAATCGACCGCACGTTTTTTCATCTGCGCATGTGCAGTGTAGATGGCATGAATTTTGATGTACGGAAACGCCACCAACCTTGCGAAAATCGTACTATCGACCGAAGTTTTCTTCGATCGATTGTACAGTATTTGCGATTGTACAGTATTTGCGGTTGTACACTGCCCATCAGCTTTACAAATATCGGACGAAAACGCGATCGCATAAAAAATTGTACATGTACCTTTTTTTTTTTTTACGACGCGTGGCTTTTTTAGTGTTCAATTGCACGGGCGGGAACTGCGGTAAACTGCACGACCCGCCGGCGTGACAGGCGTGCCATTACAAAATAATGGCAACCCACAGCGCGATTGGCGGTAGTTGGCGACTCCGTGACCGCCCGGCAATCCGCGCTTGTTTGTGCACGATTGCCTTGCGTTCAGCAGTCGCCCAGGTGTGAACCTAGCCTTAAAGTGAGCAAAGGTCCCCTTAATGTCCTGCTTAATTATGAGCCATGTTCCGATGGCTACATAATGTTCCTTGTGAATAATTAATAAACAATATGAACTGCGCCAGTCAAATCTAAGTGCAAGCTACAAAGCACGACTGATCGTGGTGATCAAAAGCGAATTCATTTTTATACATAATGTTCGTGTTAGAGTAGTAGTCAGCCAGAAGCTTTCGGTTGACTTTTTCATACAGTCATAACATGAAAGATCTCGGTACATGCCGTTTTTATTACGATGATCCCTGGCTGATTCACCCTCCTCATACCCTGCAGTGCATTCTTCAGCACTCGGCCGCTATAGCAGCTGCTGTGTTGTGGTTGCCGAGAAGTGATATTTAGCACAGGATTGTGGTCTGTAAGCCGCTATATGCTGGATGGTAGTTGTGCAGACTATTTCTAGCTGTGTGGTTTTTCAGAAGAGCTTCTTTACATTACTCATGCTCGGTGCTGCTCCCCCCCCTCCCGGCTTGCAGCAGCTGCTAAGACACAATGAGAGTGTGCATATTGCACCTACTACTGCTTTTCACCATCTACACCCATGAAGAAGAATTCTATGTTTTGTCAGGTCATACATGAACATAATCTAGATTCTACCTAGGCATACCAAGTCTCAATGCAAGGACCCCCCTCCCCCAGAGAGAGACTTTCGGTAGTGCATATTCCTTTCTGAAGTTAGGCAGTTGTTGAGGACCTTGCTGCTTGCCATCCCACCTTGATGGTGTTGCATCTGAGCAAAGTTGTCATTGGCCCCGTGTTGATGGGCATTTGTTTGCGTGGGAACTGCTTCTTCTTTCTGTATACAAGTCAATGGAAGTGCAAAAGCAGCTTGAAGCAGGTTAATGCAGCTTAGAGGGAGCTTAGAAAGAGGGTTAATGCAAGTCAAATGCATATCGTAATGAACTCAAGAGGATCTCAGAGGTGTCTTAACTCTTAAGCTGAATGCATGAGAAAGCAAGCTTGTATGTTCCCATTAACAGAAGGCCAAACCCCGTGGGCACAGGCCCATTTTAAAGCTCAATTCCATGGTAGATGTATCAACATTCCTATTGGCCTGTATTTAGCCATATTGGTACCCGAGGCTTGTATAGAACATGTTCTTATTGCTATTGGGGGGTTCTGGATGCACAGACTGTTGTCTAAATGAGTGTTCTGTAAACATCCGGGTCTTCAATTCTTCTTCTTTATAGCAAGCAACATTTCATCACTTGTTGTTCCCGCTTTCATTTTGAAGTGGAATTCCATTTTTCCGGACTATGTAGATTGGGGAAGGATTAGATCCTTTGCTTTTATTGCTGCCTTTGTCTATTTTAGGAGATTTCACCCCATGCCCTTTCTTAGTGACAACTGTCAGCAGGACAAGAAGTTAAGTGAACTCATCCCAGCAGGGGCACAACAGCAAAAAGCTGTCAGAAGGCCTAACCCTTCCCAGCTCTATCCAAAGACAATCAAAGATGCTCTGGAATTCCGCTTTAAAGACAATGAGGGGAATTTATCAAAACTGGAGCAGATGTTCACTGCAACCAATCGGCTTCTCTGTCTCATTTTCAAATCTTAACTGAAAAGAGATGGTGATTGGTTGCCATGGGCAACTGGTACAGATTTGTGTCTGCTCCAGTTTTGATAAATTCCCCCCAATGGCTTTCCTGATGCTCTGGTTTTAGAATGTTGAATGCAGGTTCATTTTACAGACTTGCTTATAAAAACGTACTTTGTGTCCTGCCTATTGACACACTGCTGTCTCCCTGCTCCTGAGTTTTCACTGCAGCATCAAGTATCGGAGCCCCAGTAGCTGTTTACTTTCTCCCTATAAGCTCTGTCATTTGATAATGTTATACAGTCGACAGGCCAGCAGCTGTCAGACCTGGAGAGGAAGAGGTGGGGGGGTCTCATTCCTTATTGTCAGCATTAAAAAAGCCAGCTCGGACAAAGCAAGTAATGCTAAATACATAGGTTAATAGAAAGATATGTCTTAAGGATGCCCACTTCTTGCATTCGTAATCATTGGTTCTCCTTAAACTTTTACCAGTCTGTAGAACATGCCTTCTAATGTTTTTCTTTGTTTGATTTTGTTTGTAGATAGTCAGCGCTCCCACCTCTCATCTTTCACCATGAAACTGAAGGACAAGTTCCACTCTCCTAAGATCATCAAGAGAACGCCTTCTAAGAAAGGAAAACCTGCCGACCTGTCTGTAAAACCCATAGAAAAACCTGTCAACAAAGTAAGCAATCCACTTTCTTCATGATCCCTACTTGTGTGTATATTGTTTTTTTAAAGTTTTAAGCACCTTAAGGGCCGGTGCACACCTAGGCGACACCCCACCGTGTGGCAATCATGCACGATTCCAACGCGGTCAGGAGTCGCCCAGGTGTGCACCGATTGCGCTGTGGGTGCCATTATTTTTCAATGGCACCCCAGTCGCGCCGGGCGGATCGTGCGATTACGCCCGTGCTTCCAAACACGACCGCGGCGAGTCCAGCTGCTCATCGTGTATCGCAGAAAAAAGGTACAAGTACGATTGCCGCGCGGTGGGGTGTCGCCTAGGTGTGCACCGGCCCTAAAAATCCTTGCTGGCCACCCGGGCTCACAGTGCTGGCAGTTTATAAAATTGAATAGTATGTGTCCAGCTAAAAGAGAGTCCTAAATCGAATAAAGTGACAGGTTCTCTTGCAAGAACAACCACCTACTAGCTGATCCACACCTTTTGTTAGAACCTGGTTCTTCTGGGTATGGAGAAGCATGTGGCTTGTTCCCAGCATGCAGTGCTCAGGCCTGAGCAGCCAATGGCCAGGCCAGATAAATGTCGCGTATGGATGAGGGAATAGTTAACCCTATATAAGTTTGACACTATGAAGCCTGCACAGGGTTTAGACTCCCAGCTCCAAAGGAGTTCTAGGATCGTGAATGTCAATGTGTGTGTTCCCGCAAGAGAACCTGTCACTTTGTCCTAAACTAAAAAAGTGACTAAGTCTCTATAAAGGGAAACCTGTGGTTAAAAAAACATGAAGGCTGCCAATTCTGACTCTTTCAAAAAAATGCTTGTTCCCTGGCTGCATGCTGAGCTCTAGTAACCTCTGTGCTTTCTGTTTCCCTGACATGGAACAAGTTTGCAGATCTGAAGCTCAGACTTCCTTTGCTGCACACATTTTGGTGTCATTTCTGTGCACTGTAATTGCTCTACTCTGCTTCTTAGAACGTGCGCACTTGGCCTGATTTTTTTTACTTGCACATGATTTTGAGCTGCTTTACATACACACACTTTTGCTATTATGTGGTCTCGTTGCTTGATCTCCCACCCCACAGCTGTAGGATGGGATCTCAGCGGTACTCCCTGGGAGAATGGTATTCCACCACACCCCACAGCTGAGGATGGCCTCACCCAACTGCTTCAAAGTCTCTAACTTCCATAGCCATATGTTTGCATCCCAGCGGAGAGATCTAAGCTTCAGCTGGTTCATGTCTGTCCCTTTTATACTGTCATACAGTAATAGTCGTTGCAGTCTGGCAGTTTTTTAGTTCCATACATGGATCTGGGTGTGCAGTGCAGAGTCAAGGCCATTGACCGACCTATAACTACCTGCCCCAGCGTGTCTTTAAAACTGCCAGTATTGTTGCTCTGTGCATGGTCCAGTTATACATATTGAATCCCTTTAGACTAGAACAGTGTCACAACCCACTGTTGAGCGGGTCACCACATGCTTTGTGCTGCGTTAGTGAGAGGCTCCTGTGTCAATTCTCCGGCCGTGCCGCTAGAGGGCGCGGCAGCACTGGCAAACGAGGAGGATCGGAGAGGGGAGCGGGCGGTAGTGAGGGTAGTTGAAGGCTGACTTGGCCACCAGAGAGCCCACACTGGCCACCAGAGAGCCCACACTGGCCACCAGAGAGCCCACACTGGCCACCAGAGAGCACCATTGAGCTCACATGAGCCCACACAGATACTAGTATTGGTGCATTCCTAAATTTTACTATTGGGGGGGTCACCACAACCAGGCAAATGTTACCAAAGGGTCCCAGCCCTAGAAAGGTTGAGAACCACTGGACTAGAAGCAAAAGACTCTTCCACCTATTCATTATGCACTAGGACGTTGTCCAGGTGACACCCAAAATGTGGCCACTAGATTACCTAATTATGTCTCCATCTCTGTTTCCAGTGATCAGACATTTAGTGGAGGAGCCGGAGTCCCCGAGTTACATACATCTGACTTACATACATCTGACTTACATACGACTCCTACTTACAGACGGAGGCTATTACCGTACAGCGGGGGTAGTTGTAATGTTACCGCGCTCGTGCCGGTGAGGAGTGCCCGCCTTTTTAGGTCTGGTCCGTAGTACTGTACGTACATTAAAGGAGGTTGGCTCTTGTTAGACGTGCAGACGAGGGGTGCCCGCCTCTTCTTCCGGGTCACTGTCAGGTTTTCACTGCTGTCTGTATCCTCATTAGAAAAATTTAATCTCACAGGACAACAGGAAGTGAAAGGAAATCTACCCCTAGGAAGGGGAATTCACTCCAGTAAGAGTGATCATGGGGGAAAAGGTGTCTCTACTGAAGCTTTATCACCAATCCTTGTTTCCACAACAACCCAAATTTTTCAAAATCCAATTGTCACAGGGACAGAAAGTGAAGTGAAATCTTCTGAACAGGGGCACACACAGCAAAACAAACTTTACAGGGGGTAAACCCTTCCCTATGCTATCCAAAACAAAAAAAATGGGGCTGGAGTTGCACTTAAAAAATGTACCTGTTCCAACTTGCATACTAATTCAACTTAAGAACAAACCTACAGTCCCTATCTTGTTCGTATCCCGGGGACTGCTTGTATTTGGATATTTATATTCATGTAATTATCTGTTAAAGGTTGCTGTAACATTATTTTTAAAACCTGCCATAGCTGACCAACCTTGGTCTGACATGACACAAAGGTGACCCCATATGCAAGCACTATTTTTCCTGCTGCCTTGTACCACATCACACAGTAGTTTGTTACCATGCGTTGTGGTGTGCTGCAGCACCTGTGTTCTGGAGGTGCATTTCCATAGTGTGTTGGGGTGCCATTGAAAATGAATAGACAGATCATGCATGTATGGAACATGACTACAGTATAACACAAGGAATAGGTGTGAATGGACCCTAAATCAACAGTATGTTTGGCATCATTGCTCACTTTGCAGTTTTCCTGAGCAAATGGTTTTTAGTGAGCCTGTTTCAACGTTTCTAAATGAACGTTCGCACCATATACAGTGCGTTCTGGCCAGAACGCACTGCCTGGCATTGCGGCCGGCTCACTATTTCGTGCCTTGCGATCCTGTGCGGGCGATTGCATTGCGGTCGGAGGGCGTGGCTACGGTGCCATTCACTTCAATGGCCCACCACGCCCCCTCCAGCCCCATGAAATAGTGAGCCGGCCGCAATGCCAGGCAGTGCGTTCTGGCCAGTATCGGGCCAGAACGGACGGCAACTGGTGTGAACAAGCTCTTATCTGGAGATTCTGCCAGTAAGAACTCTTCCTGTTGCAGGCTGACAACATTGAGCCAATGTCTTGCAATAAGCATCAACGTTGTCAGCCTACCATCTGCTGGCCTACAGTTGGCCTTTGGGCTGCCTATGTGATATACCTAATAGGCAGCCCAACAGCCAATTGAAGGAGCATACGCAGCAGGCTGATAGGTTTAAGGTTCACGTATACTTTCATTTTCATACTTGCATTATGAAAATGACAGGTGCTGATTAGTTGCTGTGAACACAAATCTTTATAGTGTTGTTATGTATGAAACCCATTTTATGTTTGATGTAAATGTTACCCACGCTTTTGTACCAAGTTATCTGGGACTTTACTCATTTTCCTTAGCCCCATAAATGACTCATAAACATTGGTAAAGACATTCGCTGCGGTACGGTTTTACATGCTGATATTTGATGTGTGAGCCACCTGCAGTGTCATTCAAGAAAGCATGAGTTAGGAAAGTACAGAGTCGGCTCACACAATGACTGTCAAAATACCCCCAGATCATAGTGAAACTTCCTGTTAAAACTGTCCTGTGTACTTGCAGAAATTGCTAGAAAGGGGGAAGAACGTGTAACCATCTTAGATTTGAGACTTTCAGGGCAGTTTTGATTTTTGGCGTAGCTCAGGACATTCCTATGTCACACTTGGATAGATGCCATTTATATCAGTGGGCAATGGCACCATTTACCTCTGCCACTTGTCACTTTCTTTTACCTCTAGACATCTGATTGTATAGAGGCAACTGGACTTGCTGTATTTTCCTTGAAGACGTTTCACTGGTCATCCAACCAGCTTTCTCAATTCAGAATGACTTGTAAAAAAATTCTCTGGGAGGCAACAACTGGTTCACCCAAAGACCCAACACCAAAACACAAGATGAACAACGTTGTGTATGCAGTCCAGTGCACTTTATACAGATATACCATGACCTGGATGAATGAGAACCTTCACATACCTCTTTTCAGTTGCTAGGCCACACTTTAATACAGGGGTGGACAAATTATTATGGAATTCAGGTGGCCAGTCTGTTCTCCAAACTCTTCACCCTTTTGTGAATAGCCCGTGTAATTCGGAAGCCGCCGCCGCATCAATCTGGAAGCCGGCGCCGCATCATTACATGGCGAGTCTTTACACGCTGCCCGGTTTCCCGGCTAATCAGGAAGCCAGATGGTGATTCATTATACGCCGCCTGGCTTCCTGAATGGGACTTGCAGTGCTCGGTATGCGGTATCGGTGAGTACCGGGAAAAAAAATATCGGTACTTGTACTCGAAATACCGGCATCGGTGCATCCCTAGATAAGATACCAGCCACACGAAAAGAACATTGTTTAGGTTTGCATTTTGAAAGGAAGCAGCAAAGTTGCATCATTGTGTAGTACGTCTAAGGCAGAAAGGAGTCCTCGTATATAATGAGCAAATATGGCTGCCCCTATGTACATACAGAAGTTTATTTTCTTTTTAAATTTTTTTTTAAATTTTAACACGTATTGATATTATTTAAAGCTATCTATTGTATGGTATATTCACTATATTGCCTTTAATCGATCATTATTCCAAGTGATCATAAAGTGCAGAGTGGGATTTTGAGTGTTCTCAATGCATGACCATGCTTTCTTTTAGACTCTGAGCCGCTTGGAGGAACAGGAGAAGGAAGTTGTCAATGCCCTACGTTACTTTAAGACTATTGTAGATAAAATGGCTGTAGACAAGATGGTGCTGGTGATGCTGCCGGGATCTGCCAGCAAAGTCCTGGAAGCCATCCTTCCATTGGTGCAGGCGGACACGCACACACAACAAAGGTAAACCTTTCATTCCTGAGCCTGTGCCGACTTCACTGGAAGTCTCCTATTAATGTTTCATTAAGTTTGAATTATATGTGTGTATTAGACTAGCAAAAAGACATTAAAAAGGACCTCTAGTGCAGTTTTACTTTAGAATTACTTTAGACTTACAAGAACAGCCAGATACTTAGGAATGATCGAAGTCCTCTGATCATGCAGGTCGTCTTTTTGTCTTAAAATTGCACCCTTGAATTTTCGAGTGTTCATTTTTATCTAAATGGAAGAGAAGTATTGGTGTGGCAAGTCACCTGCACTGCCAGCTTTTCCAGGGACAGATAAGTGAAAGCATAGCAACTTGACAAACATTTCAAACCTTTTGTGGACAGTTATCTTTTACTGTCTACATATCTTTAGCTTCCTGAGTTTAGTCTGAAAAGTTTACCCTGAGGGGAAATTTGCACTTTTTAAAACCTTCCACAATCTTTGCAGACTCTGAATATGTGTAGGTCTGCTTAGGGATGCTAGTTTTGGTCCTGGTATATATCACTGATATGATTTCACTGCAGTACAAAGTACAACTAGGGATACTACAGGAAATGACCCCTAGGACCTAATACTCCACTTTTGTCCTGATCACCCCTGTGTTGATGTAGGGTAAAGGTGTTCTGCTTCAGAAGCGGCATTGTAACACTTTATAAGAACCCACTGGGTAAGGGATTCAGTTATAGGCCTCTTGTTTCCTGCATCCTGAAGTTGCTTTTGGACTGGCTCATTTGCATCTATTTACCACTGAGCGTGGTATAAAGTCTTACTGATTTTACTTGGTGCTCCAGTAAATCAAGTTGTGTTTTTTTTTTCATAGCAGAACTTAAAGGGGTTCTAAACCCTCCGTTTTTTTTGCCTATATCTACTGTTAGCAAGCAGTAGATATAGGCAAGAAGTTTAAAAAAAAACAAAAAACGCTTGAACTGGTTTTAAACTTACCTCGTTATCGCTGCTCGTTCCCGCGCCGAGAATGAGGAAGTGATCGTACGGCCGCAAAGGATCTTGGGGCGGGCGCATGCGCAGTTCCGATTCTCGGCCGGGAGACAAGCAGAGACGCAAGGTAAGTCTATGGACGCGTGCACCCGCCTGCAGACACCGCTGGATCGGAGAGACAGAGCCGTCAGCGCTGGATCGGAGTGACGCCGCACCGCTGGAGGGACACATGAAAACATGGGGAAAGAAGAGGAAGATCAGAATAAGAGACATCATTTGAGGTAAGTGCTAACATTTACATGGGGGGGAGGGGAAATGTTTTTTGGCTTTAATGTCACTTTAAAGCTGGGCTGTTTTAAACCTAAACATAGTAAATTGACAGCTGGTGTTAAAGTACAGGTGCACTTTTGTGCATCTGCAACACAGATTCCCCTTCCCTTCCCCTTTTGCCTTCTTGATCATCCCTTTATATAATACATCCAATACACTCCAATCAGATAATCCACTCGTATGAAGGTTGCAACCAGCTAACGAACAGAAGGCCCAGTTCTTCCTTCTGGAGCTGGTTTAGTATTCATGTCTGAATCTCAAACATAGCAAAAAGTTTCCCAGCATGCTGGCTGGTGAGTGTGCTGGGAAACTTTTTGCTATTACTGTTTTAAAGCCCTTCCCTGTGCACCTTGCTGTAAAGCTGGTAACAAATTGATGAGTACGTTTGCGATTTGTTTTGCTTGACTGAATCTCAAACCTGCTGTAGACCTACCGTAAGTCTTCCTGTTCTTTTAAATGTAGGCATCAATTGGCGCCTACATCTCCGCAAACTGATCTACCACGGCAGTGGTTCTCAACCTGTGTAACCTCAGAACCTAAGTTTTGTTCTTGGTCATTAAGTCGCGACCCAAGTCGCACTGCTAAGGAGCGTACAGCATTAACCGCGTGACACACTGCATGCAAAGCCGTGCAGAGGGCAGCAAAGCTGTCCAGCACGGAGCTTTGCGTGCCGTGTGTGAGCTGAGTGCAGGCAGATGATTGACTGCACCTTCAGCCAATTGGCTCGTGCGTAACAACTGGCCAGACATCGCATCCAGACACACGGATTTATACGTGCGAGCCGATTGGCTGAAGATTAGACATTTTTCATCTCGGCACGCTCAGCTGTGCGAGCTCTCGCACACTGATGTGTCGGGGAGAAAATTACATAACATATTGCTCGCGAAGTGTGTCAGAGCCTTTAGGGTACCGCATTTTCCGGGGTGGGGGTACAAACTGTGGGTGGGAGGTGAGTTTGGGGTACCATTCAAATGAATGGCAACGCAACACACATCCCACACCAGAATGCACGGTTAGTGCGATTGCGTAGTACAATGCGTTAATCGCACGGGACTGTGTGATTAGGGCACTTTACTAGTGTGAACGGGCTCTCACACACACTCAGGAACATTTTATACTTAAAATGTTTTAAAATGTTTTTTAAGGTCCATCCATTCTCCCTACCTTACGAGAACTGGATGGAGTGAATCCTCAGCCCGAGGTCCAGTGTGGGCTGCTGTGCTGTGATGGAGCTTCATCCCTATGTGCCTTGCTTGTACTGCTCCCTTGCATGAACCTGTAGAGGTGGCGGGAGCCAGAATGTGATGTCACTCCGGTTCCAGGCACATCTACAGGACACATGAGGGAGCTGTAAGCAATGCACGTATGGATGGAGCTCCCTTGCGGCCATAGCTCCATCCTAGCCCACCTTAAGCCGACACTCGGCACCGGGCAGCATATTTTGAATGGCTTCTTGACAGTTCTGCGCTAGGGGGAGGCTATGGAGCCTCTCGCCTACAGAAATGGAAGGCATGCAGGGACCCACTGAACAAGGGGTCGCGACCCACCAGTTGAGAACCAAGGTACTAGAGTACACAGGGAGACCGGAAATATGCGGTTTCTGTTTTTTTTTTTTTTTTCAAAGAGCAGCTTCAGGAATTGAAGTCATATTAAGGCCCACCACCTCTTGTACCGCATGTGATTAATACGTGAACCAAGAGACAGACAAGGGAGGGAATGGGCAGAACATGAGCAGTGGCTGTAGTTGGTATTTGTACAATATAGTGCTCCCTGTTTCTGTGTCCTGGGGCACGCATGAAGATACTTGAAGGTAGGGGTAGTAACCTCTGTGTGGCTGCAAAGTTTAGTATTCATTTTTATTACAGGTACACCAACCGTAAATCTAATTGTGCTGCATGTTCTCAATACTTCTGTAGTCAAGCTCAGTGTTTCAACAAAGTTTGTGTGTAAGTTTCCTCCCCGTCATTTTAATACAGTGTCTGTTGTATGGGAAGAGAGAGAAAATAGGAGTCTTCTGTTTTTTGTGTTACTGATCCCCCCCCTCTTCTTTACAGTACTGCTATCGCCTCCTGCTACAGCCGAGTGTACCAGTCTCTTGCCAACCTCATTCGCTGGTCTGATCAGGTGATGCTGGAGGGTGTCAACTGTGAAGACAAGGAGATGGTATCCACTGTGAAAGACGTCATAAAAGCGGTGCTGGATGGTGTCAAGGTCAGGACTTGCTTGAGGATTAGGAATTTGCTTTTGGGGGGGTTGGGGGTTTAATGGGGTTTTCCTTGTAATAAACAAGCGAAGCTTAAGTGTCTAGCAATAAGGGAAGTCGCCTCTTGGAAATGCAGTCTGAATCACCACATTTAATAAAGATTAACTGAATTTACTCAGCAGTAGCAGCCATGACTGACATGACGGCTTCTCAGTCATCTGTGACATGAAGTGCGTTCTTTAAAAGCTTGTCTCTTTCCATGCTCTAACCACTGACAGGAAACATATCACATTATATGTACTTAATATCTTCTTTTTTTTTTTAAATTGTGAAATGTACAACCTTAAAGGTAAAGCAAAGCCAACTTTCAGTTTAAATTGGCAAAATACATTTGCGGTATTGTAAAACAAAGCTGTAGAGAAGGACCCTTGCTCTCTGTGGGTAAGCAGCGGTCTGTCTGCAGAGGCCCGGCACACTCCCTGTTAAATTCCAGCCAGAGCTCTTCAATCAGCAGGGAGCATGAGCGTTGCTCCCTACAGAGCTATAGGTCTGACTTCGCAGGGAGTATGTCAGACCTCCGCACGGACGCTGTTGCTTCCACAGATGGTCCGTCTCTGCAGCATGCTGGCAGGGGGACAGGCTTTTCTACTCGGGCTGTGGCTGCTGTATGAAGAAAAGAAAATGTAAACTGAAATTTCAGCTGGGCTATATAAATTGTCCCCCCGATGGTTTAGCACTCTAAAAATCAGGAGGGTCCACAGCTCCATTGTTAGTCACGTCTGGTCTATGTCTGCAACTTATCGGAATAAGTGTCAAAGCAATGTTTGGATGCTTTTTAATCCTCCTTCTTCCTCGTCAAGCAGCATACACTGTTAGGGTCCCCACACACCTTATGATAATCGTACGATAATCGCGGGAAATCCCGCGATTGTACGATTATCGTAAGGTGTGTGGAAGCCGTGCGACCTCTACTATTGTAAGGCTGCACGACTTTTAACTTACGAACATGTTCGAAAACCCGCCGAGCATCGTACGATGTTCGGCGGGTGTATAGCATGTTCGTAAGATAAAAGCGGGACGGGCCGGTGTGCGCAAGTGCACACTGCCCGTTCGGCATTGCGGTCATCGGAAGCCCGCCCCTCAGGGGGGCGCGGCTTGCGATCATCGCAAGTACGATCTGCCTGTCCAAGATAGGCAGATCGTACGTTTTTTTAAGTACCTTACAACCATCGCAAGACAAAAGTCTTGCGATGGTTGTAAGGTGTGTGCCCAGCATTATGCCATTAAGTGGGCTTTCCACAGTGGGTGTCAGAACACGTCCTGATAGGTCAGACTTGCGGGCTTGCATTTTCATAGGCTTAATAGCCATTGGGAAGATGAGGGGTATCACAGGCTAGAGGGATTCAGCTTAGTGGCTAGGTAGGAAAGATAAATGGTGGCTTGGGATGAAAGATTTTAGCTATTTACATGGCACAACTTAACCCTTTTAAGTTGAGTGCACTAATATAAGACATGACCATAGTTTAGCTTTAAATAGATGTGACATGTTATTACACTGCAATGTTCTCAATAGCCCTGTGATGCCTGTGCATAACCCTGGCCCTTTATGAACGAGTGCACAGATATATATAATCCTAAAGTGATCTCATGTTCAGTGGATTAGTTTGCCTGAATATCTGTAAAGTGCTAGCCTGCCCTTATTTTTCCTCAGCAGCTGCAGTGTTAAACCAAGCCATGCGCCTGGCAGCCTGCATGTCCCCTCTGGGGAGACACAGCTGGAGTCTGCATCCGTGAGGTCATCCAGGCAATGAAGTCAGATATTTGGGAGCCTTCCAGGCCTCCTCACCCTCCCTGCTCGGCACTGTATAGCCTTAGTTTCACCTCCCAGCTCCCCCGTCCTCTCCTTCTGCTGCCCGTAAGCTGTTGGGGTCTCTGCCCACCCCTATTATCACATCCTGCCTATAGTACAAAATGTTATACTCCCTGGATGCCTCATATTGCTTTGCATGGCCTGCTTTCCTGAATCTGCAGTTGACTCCTTATTTATACTTAAATACCGACTGAAATGTTTGCAAAACTTTGCTCCAGCACAGGGAGGCTCACATTTACTGTGAAAACAACTTTACACCGGATCACAGGGTCCGAGGAGCTCGCAACTTACCAACACCCGAGCTGCCTATATTAGTCATCTGTTTGTGTGTTTTTTTTCATTTCCTGTTACTCTGAAGCTGTGTAGCTTGATTTTTGTATAGCTGGATATTCTATGGTATTCAGCATTGTTGTAAGCTTTCAGACTCTCTGTAGGTCATGAACAGCTGGTTTTAAGTAGTACTGCAAACAGAACTTAAAGTAAAGCAATGAATAGTCTTTGCACAGCTATTGACTTGCACCTTGGTGTTGGGTGTTCTGGCTTGCACAGCAAACTTCACCTGCTGTAAATCTTCCTATAGAGGGCATTCGGTTATGTAGACACGATCTCCCTCTCCTCCTGGGCAAACGTTTGTCAAAGTACCTCAGAGCAGTTTATTGACTCACTAACTTTGCTCATCAGGAAAAACCATGGAGTTTGGAGCAGGTTTTCTGACCTACATGATGGACCTAATTCTACCCAATAGTGGCAGGCATGATGCCAGTTGACTTCTTTTGGGAAAGAACATCAAACCGGTTTTGAAAACCTGCCCCCAGTCAGTATTGTCTGCAAGATAAGTGATGCTAGCAGCTTTGACAGGAAGTCATGAAGAGGTTAAAGGTCAACTGTGCCTTATTTCTATAAAACAAAACAAATGGCAGGCAGTTAATGTATTCCCAGCAGTTTACAGTCTTGAACTTCACCCAAAAAAAGGATTAATCTTTTGTCTTCTGAGTATGGGGAAACATGATTAATTCCTGCTGTGTCATGGCATTGGTGATTGGCAACTCAGGCACCCAGCACTGTCACGTAGGGACAGAAAAAGGGTTCTCAGCCCCGTGTAATCTCCAGATTACAACTTAAGAATTACTCAGGGCCAACTCTCCTTGCGCCGAACGGCTAAACCAAGTACTGTAATGTCTTTATGCAGTTTGATATCCAAATGAATTGATGGATAGATGGATTCTACCTATCCTATCTACCTATCCTATCGAATCTACCTATCCTATCGAATCTACCTATCCTATCGAATCTACCTATCCTATCGAATCTACCTATCCTATCGAATCTACCTATCCTATCGAATCTACCTATCCTATCCAGCATTGATCCTTTCACTATAAAGAGGGTCACATACATTATCCTATTTTATTTTCTTTCATGTATATCTCTTCCTATATTGAGCATGCTGTTGTATCGTGTTAGGATGCTAATTTACAGTGATTGGTTCTTTCAGGAGCTGGTGCGATTGATGATCGAGAAGCAAGAGCGCCCGTCACCGACCAGTCCCGTGAAACCAGCCTTACCTGCAGGCAAATCAGACAGGTGAGCCTCCGAGAGTGGTATGTTGCCTTTTATTAAGAGTAGAATGGAAACAAGGCAGTCACTAGATAATTGTTAATTTTTGTTGCAGCACGCAAGATTTGCCTTTGTCGGAGAGAGAGCTGGAGATTCTTAACAAGTCGCCCGAGCCATCTCGTAAGGATGTTCCAGTAGACTGTGTAGAGACCGATGAGCTTGCTCCACCCAAACCCCCATTACCTGGCATACGGGTGGTGGAAAATAGGTAATCGCATGGTTTTATTTTACGACGGTTCTTGAAGTAATAGAATCTAAGCAGAATTGGACTTTATCATAAACCCCCTTCCCCACAATTTGGTCTTTCTAGACTGGAGCTTTGTGTGTGACTTGTGCTGCCTGTTTCGTACCATGGCACATTGAAAGTATGTACTGGTCCAGTGCAAGGAAGAGCTAACTTCCGTCTCCTGCCTTTGGTTTGGCAAAAACCTTTCCCTTGAAAGGATAGATGATTTTCGAATCTCATATTGATGTTCTAAGCCTAGTTTATAAAGAATGTTTCAGTTCTTTTTGACCAAACAAACTGAAATTTGATTATAGAACCTCGGTATAAACACCTTTTAGGTTTACCAGCAACTATATAGTGTGAGAGCCTTCCTAGTTGGATATCAGTTGAATGGATTATTGATGTAGGCCATACACTATGTATAGTGCTGAGATGTCCACAAACGTTTGGCCTTATAGTTCAGTTGTTGGTAAAGGAGATTGTATAACCAGATTGTAACATGTGGTCATCCAGTAGTAAATCTGATCTACAGAGGTTCAGCCATGGGTCGACACTTAAAGGAGAACTATGGGGTTAAGGCTTTTCCCCACAGTTCTCCTAATGGTCACGGGAGAACACAAACTAGCGTTCTCCGGTGACCCAAAGCTCCATATATCGCGAGCTACAGTTCGCTGTATACTGAGATGCCGCAGCTGGGACGGATCCCGACAATTATGTCTGGATCCACCCAGCTGCGGGATTGACAGCTGGCTCTGCCTATCGAGAGGCAGAGCCAGCTGTGCCCGCCCCCTCACCGTCCATTTCGCCAGTCAGCGCTTGAGGATCGGAGAGGGGAGGGGGGAATCCCTGCAGGGAGCCGTGAGTGACAGTCACGGACTCACGGCTCTCTGCAGGGATAGACCGAGAAGTGAGCGAGCAACGGTATGTTTTCGTTCACTTTACGATCTACTGAGCCGAGCTGTGACAGTCTCCTTGTCACAGGCCGGCTCAGATTATGAGTGAAAATCACTCACCTCATAGTTCTCCTTTAAATAAAATAACCTGTTCTTTTCCTTTGTCCATTTGCAGCCCACCGCCGGCATTACCTCCAAAGAAAAGACAATCTGCACCCTCTCCCACTCGTGTGGCTGTCGTAGCACCTATGAGCCGAGCTACTAGTGGATCCAGTATACCTATAGGCGTCCATATGCCGGTGAGAAGTTGCTGGTAAAAGTCCTGCTTTAAAAATGATGGCAAGGTCTGTTTGGCTTTCTAACTTCCTTTTTTTTTCTACTTTTATTCAAGGATTTTGAAGTGAATTGTTACGCACACCGCCGATTATCTGGAGGTAGTCAGTCGTACGGGGGCGAGTCCCCGCGTCTTTCTCCGTGTAGTAGTATAGGAAAACTTAGCAAGTCTGACGAACAACTCTCCTCCCTGGACAGAGACAGCGGTCAGTGCTCCCGAAATACCAGCTGTGAGACTTTAGGTAAGACAAGCGAACAGATAATTGTCATCAGTTAGCGTAGCTGGCTTTGCTTTTCTCAGAAGGAGACTGTTTCCTGTTTGTGGTTTATTGGGAGTTTGAGGTCTCGCATACATGAGTTAAAAGGCAAAAGTGACAGTTCTAAGAAATAAGACCCAAACCTTGTACAGAGACAGAATGGTGAGAAACCAGAAGAAGCAGCTCGCTTTTATTGTATCTATCTCTCCTCTTCCTCCATTAGTCATCTGAGTGCTAAGAGTCTCTTAGTGATGTTGCTAGCTTCATGAACAACACCTAAATCACATCTATTTGTAGGTTTATTCTTTTAACCAGCTAGGAAGGGTATTGGGGCAGCTCGGAAGAAATGGTAACTGCATAAATTTATAACCAGCCTTTGTAGTAGGGTGCACATGGGAAGGCTTACAACAATACAAAGCACACAAAAATCCCAAGGAACCACACTGCTGACACAGGTAGCATCATATTTGAAAAGATGAGCATCCAGAACCAGTGTCCCAGTTTTGGGTAGAGGCTTGCAGCTGGGCGGACCCAGACATAATTGTCTGGATCTGCTTCAGCTGCGGCGTCTCAGTATACCGCGATCTGTAGCTACTGAGCTTAGGGTGACGGGAGGACGCTAGTTTGTGTCCTCCCGTTACCCTAAGGAGAACTATGGGGAAAAGCCCTAACCCCACAGTTCTCCTTTTAAACTACCTAATGGTTTATATCTTTCAAGGTCTCTAAAGGTCTGTTTTTGAGTTTCAAAGATAAATGGCCATCAAAGCAAAAAAACAAAAACCTAAAGCCTTCCATTGATCCAGAGGAAAGCAATAAACCCTTCATAGTGTTTTCCACTGTACTCCGACAGGGATCACCGCTGATAATCGGATGCTCCCTGATGAACTTTCTTTATTGTTATCTTATAAATATTAGAGGTCATTTACTCTTTGTGAATTGGGGAACATACCTGTTTTGGAATGTATTTGAATGTACTTGGCTGGATATAACCAGTTCCTGTGGGAAACCGCTCCACATTTCTACAGCTTTTTACAAAAGAATCACACACTCAGTTGTTTGTAATTTTAAAGGCGAACTATGGGGCCAGGGCTTTTCCCCATTAGAGCTGTAGCTCGCGGTATACTGAGACGCTGCAGCTGAAGCGGATCCCGACAATTGTGCCGGGATCCGCCCAGCTGAGTGACTGACAGCTGGCTCTGCCTATCTAGAGGCAGAGCCAGCTGTACCCGCCCCCGTCCGATCAGCCAGTCAGCGCTGGCGGTGGGGAGGGGGGGAGTCCAGCCCCTACCCTGTCACGGCAGAGAGCCGTGACAGGATCGAGAGGTGAGCGAACGCCGGTATGTGTTCCCTCACCTCCCTATCTACTGAGCCGACCTGTGACAGTCTCATTGTCACAGGTCGGCTAGAACTATGAGGTGAGTAAAAAGCACTCGCCTCATAGATCTTTAAGTAATTGCAAATGTAAGGGGAGGGGGGGACACACAAATATGCCAAGGTGGTTGGGAACACCTAACGATTCCAGTGAAATTGGAATAAAGCCAGAAACTTATAGGGAGCTCTGATCAGTGGTGTTCCTAGGAGCCTTTAAAATCCAGCAGTTGCCTTGCCTACTACACAGCCCATTTATAAATATCACCTTCGAGTGGACTAAGTCATTTTGTTTTGCTATGAGGGCTTCATTTTAGTAAACACTGTATTGTAATTGTTCTCATTAATTTATGTTTTCTATATCTTCATTACAGACAACTACGATCCAGATTACGAGTTCCTGCAGCAAGACCTCTCTAGCACAGATCAAGTAACTGGAGTCCTCAGCCCTCTCCCTGAATCCCTAGGAGAGACCGGTTCCCCTTTTCATGGACAAAACTTCCAATTACCTCCCAACACCCCTCCGCACTCAGAATCCACTCACCCCGCCACAATAGAGGCTCCTCCTGCCCTCCCCGAGAAGAAACGTAGAAGTGCAGTTGGCCATAACTCTGATGGCTCTCGAGTGTGTTACGAAAGACACCCTTCCCAGTATGACAATATCTCCGAGGATGACTTGCTTCTCCCCCCTACTGGTACTCCGTTTGCTGCTGTTTCCCCATTTCAACCTGGAATCACCCCTCAGATGGATTTCCTTGGTGATTTTATTGCGGCGGAGAATGACGACATTCCAGAAAAGCCACCGCCTCTTCCTGAGAAGAAGAACAAACACAGTGAGTTTCATGATCTTCCTACTGCTGCACAGTACATTTTTTCAGTAGCATATAGTAAAATGAAACCTTGGGTTCAGTGAAGATTTGAGTTTGGGCCATAGCTAGGGTCACAAAATATGAAGGGCTTCCACTTATTCCACCTTCTTTCATGTTTGCATACTTGCATGCATTTGCAAAAAGTTTCCTCAATTGCAGCTGTCATACCTGTAGGCCTTTTGCACCCCCACTAAAGCCTGCCTGAAAAATTGCCAATTTTGTTGGCAATTTTGAGAAGCTAGCCATTGGACGCTCTTCCCGGACATCACAGGAACCAGGGCTGTCCTTGTTCAGAGCCCTGTGCTTGCACAGTGTGCTCACTTATCCCTGTCACAGATGCTGAGCTCCGCTTTGGCATCAAGGAGAGCGCGCGTACAGTCTGCGCATGCACAGGGCTTTGAACATGGATGACGCTTGTTCTTGTGATGCTGGGGGCGAGCATCCAGTGGCTGGCTTGTCCTGGCAAGAGGGCCAGACAAAGCTCTAAACAGTACGGGCTTCAGCAGGGGTGAAAATGGCCTATAGATATGACAGCTGCAATTAATGAAGATTAAAAAAAAAAACTGCTGAGTTCACTAACTAATTCTGTAGAACTAAACCAGGAAATAGCAGAGTCTCCTTCCTGGGTAGGAAGTGTGACTAAACAGAAGTGAAAGAAGCTTTCACAGCTAAAACAATTTACACATATAATCTGTTTTTTCAGCTGTGTATTTAGTTGCCTATTTTTAGGCTGTAACTGTAAAAAAAATAACTCTTGCAGTGGGGCTACCTCTGTGCACTGCAAGGGTTAACTGCTTTGTTGTGGTCTATGGGGCAGCATACAAAAGCTTGATCCTCGGTCCTGCGACGGCGTCCTTGTATCGAATGCAGGTGAATAAACCTGCATTAAGCTGACCATACACCTGACGAGTATCGTACGATAATCGCGGGTGATCTCGAGATCGTACTAGAGCTGCAGCTAACGATTATTTTCAAAATCGATTAGTTAGCCGATTATTAAGTTCGATTAATCGGTTAATCGGATAAACAATAAAATACATTTTTAAAAAATGGCTCCAGTGATGGGACTACTAGTTTGTATTGAGGTTGTAGTCCATCACAGGAGCGAGCTTGGAGCGGTGGAAGTAAAAAAGAAAAAAAATAGTGTGGTGTGCAATATAGTGAAAAGGAAAGTGTAAAATTATACAGCAATGAATGCAGAATGGCACCGGCTATAGAGGACTACAAATCCCAGCAATACATTATACAGCAATGCGGAATACCGCCAGCTATAGAGGACTACAAATCCCAGCAATAGTACATTATAGCTGGCGGTATTCTGCATTGCGCTGTATAATGTACTGTTGCTGGGTTTTGTAGTCCTCTATAGCTAGTGGTATTCTGCATTGCGCTGTATAATATATTATTGCTGGAATTTGTAGTCCTCTATAGCTGATGGTATATTATACAGAGCAATGTACCATCAGCTATAGAGGAATACAAATCCCAGCAATACATTATAGAGCACCACGTGTGGGAAAGTGCAGGCTTAGCTGAGCAGTCTTCCAGCAACTTGCTTCTGAGATCGGACCTGTCTATTCGTGGCTGTCATCCCCCCACACCTGCTCCTCCTTACTACATGTCCCCGTGTCCCTGTGCCGATCGTGGATGTGGGCGGGCAGTGAGTGTAAGCCGGGGAGGAGGTGCGGTGTGAAGAGCGTGGATGCGGGCGGGTCTGGCAGCGATGAGCGTGAGGTGGGGGAGGAGGTGCGGTGCGCAGCATGTGTGGAGCCGTGAACAGGGCCAACTGATCGGAAGCCGATTAATCGATTATTGAAAAAGTTGACAACTTTTTCAATAATCGATTATAATCGATTATGTCGATTAGTTGTTGCAGCCCTACCGCTCACCATTGCAATCATCTGCAAGCCCTCCCCTCACCGGGGAGGACTTGCGATGATCGCAAGTACGATCTGCCTGTCCAAGATGGGCAGATCGTACAAAATTTTATTCACCTTACAACCATCGCACAACGAAAGTCGTGCGATGGTTGTAAGGTGTATGGCCACCTTTAGATCTGATGATGTCACTGGTCCAAAGACCACTGGAGCCTGGGGAAGAAGAGGCTACGGGGAATTGAGGATCAGGTATATTTTTTTTTATTTGAGCCTGTAGACAAGCTGTTAACCTTTGCATTGCAGGGTTAGCCCCATTGCAAGGGTTACATTTTTTTATTTTTTTTGTAGGGTCACACACCGGCTCAAAATATTGTATATTTTTACTCTCCCAATAGTTCTCCTTTAATTTGATGATTGAATTTACAAGGTTCTGTACTTGGTTAGGTCCGTCACTGATATTCAACCTTGTTTGTGCATGATGCTTCTCATAAGGCAGCTTGATGCTTCAGTTTACCCTGGGAATGCAGAGAATGTGGTGGACCTCATTTTAATGAGATGGGAAATTATTTACAAGTGACCATAATGTAAGTTCTTCTGTAAAGGGAATGTATGAGGGAGCTGCCATTGTGGGCTTGTTTTAAAAGGAAACCTCTACTAAGACAATGGTTGATAGCATTTTATATCTGCTAGCTGTGGGCTAGTTGCGCGGCTGTTTCGCTGGTCCATTGCTTCCAAATCCCCTCTGAGGCTTGGTTCACACCTAGGCGTACGGAATATGCGCGCTTGCCGCGCGTTTTTACCGCGATTTACGAGGGCTACCTGGCTGTATCCCAATGGATACGCACGGCAAATACGCCCCAAAGAAGCTCCTGTACTTCTTTGGGCGTAGTGCGTTTTGCAGCGCGCTGTAAAACGCCCAGCTGGGAACCATGCCCATAGGCAAGCATTGGTTTTCACATGTTGAGCGTTTTACAGAGCGTAGGAACGTGCTGTAAAACGCCCAGGTGTGAACCAGGCCTAAAGGAGAGGTCGGAAGTAGCAACCTCTGTGTTCTGCTCAGTACAGTTTACCTTTGAAGGCGCAGCTTTACTACCACATTAGCCACTGACCCGGAACAAGTATGCTGGATAGGAGTTCAGGCTTTTCCGACTTCAAGAACAACTAACTGGCTCGGATCAGGATGACACTTTTAAATCAAGGCAGCAGTAGCAGCTTCCATATTTTTCTCTCTAGCTCACTTTAAGGATTACCATCCGTCAGTGTGCAGGATTGTTCATATCCTAAAATGGCGTGCCTTAGACTTCAATGTTCACCGTATCATTTTGCAAGATTTGAAGTTTCTTGGAGGAGCGCTGGGCTCTTCACGTCATGCGGCTCAGAGACTGTCCTGCATGAATTGGTGAGCTGTGATGGACTTAGATGCCTTTGGCTGCCTCAGGTTTGTGTAATGGAACTGCCTTATAAGGAATCCCGTGCCCTTGGACACAAGCCATCCTCAATTGTGTTGATTAAGTGGCTAAGCGTCTGCCCAGCATTTGGGAATTCCTTGCGGGCGTTGCTGTAGGACTAGGCAGCTCTCGCAGGACTTGCAAATAGGACGCTTGGGTTATCCTGCACTATCTACGCCATCGCTTCAGCTGTTAGAGCGGTGAAAGCAAAAATGCCACAGCTGCCAGAAAGCCAAATGTTAGGTAGAGGAAATAAAATGACAGCAGTGCTTTCAGGTATATCGGAACTCCCAAACTGTTACAACTCTGAGAGTGGCTATTACTGGTCTCCTAATTTGTTTTTGTTTTTTTAAGGGAATGGAAAATGTTTTTGTTTATACAGGCAGTCCCCGAGTTACAAATATCCGACTTACATACCACCCCTATTTACAAACTAAGGCTATTGCTGTACAGCAGGGGGTCCCAGGCTGCAGCCAAAGTGTACCGCGCACCATTTCAGTAGTTGTAATGCTACCGTGCTCGTGCCGAGGAAGAGTGCTCACCTTTTTGGGTCTGGTTCGTAGTACTGTACGTACATCACAGGAAGTTGGCTCTTGTTTGACCTGGAAGAAGAGGCGGGCACCCCTCGTCTGCCCGTCTCTGTGAGGTGTTTACTGCTGTATGTATCCTCATTAGAAAGATTTAGGCCTCATTCACACTGCCGTACAATACGCTGCTTATATGCGCATACTGTCCCATATGCAAATAAATTGCTCCATACACACAGCTGCATATGGAGCCGTATATTTACGCTGCATAAAGATGCACAAAAACAGAATGGACCCGAGATGCGTATTATACGTGCATATGCGCGCGTACAGTTCATTAAAATCTCTTACGAATGATGCATTCTGGGATTGCATATAGTGCATGCATATACATGCAATATACCATTTTGCTCTTGCGTTTTGTGTGCATGAGGCCTTAATCGCACATCCTGTCTTTGAGACAACAAATCTACCCCTATGAAGGGAAATTCACTCCTGTAAGAGTGATCATGAGAAACAGTTGTCTCCACTGAAGCTTTATCACCAATCCTTGTTTCCACGGCAACCCAAAATGTTCAAAATCCAATTGTCACAGGGACAGAAAGTGAGGTGAAATCTTCTGAACAGGGGCGCACACAGCAACACAAACTTTACAGGGGGTGACCCTTCCCCTTGCTATCCAAAACTAGAAAACATTTTTTGGCTGGAGTTGCACTTAAAAAATGTACCTGTTCCAACTTACATACAAATTCAACTTAAGAACAAACCTACAGTCCCTACCTTTTTCGTAACCTGCCAGCACAGTACAGACAGGGTTAATGAGGGAGACCCAGCCCCTCCATACAATGCGGAGCTTTCAGTCCTGCAGTTTTCGGAGTTTTCACATCTAAAAAAAGGTAAGCTACAAATTTTAATGAGGAATGGAAGTAGAAGTGTATCCCGCTGTGCTCTCTGCTTGTCACCCCTAAAGCACCTCTAGAACTGGAATGGTCCGAGGGAACGCTGCTGCATTGTGAAGTGGTATTTGGGGCACCAAAAATGATTGAAAGAAGCCGCGTATACCAAGATTGGGACCTTTTCTATTATCCACAGAGCAGATATTGTGCAGCTTAGTCCGGTGACCCTGTTGTCCTGACCTTGTGAGCCCTATCCACTTTTCATTTCAAAGCTTTTCAGATGGTGAAGAGAGGAGCAAAATGCTTGTGGTTACATGGATAATTTTTTAAGCAGTACTTAACAGAGAAGATCTGTGTGAAAGGGAGTGAACCTGATTTGTTTCTGTGCGGAGCTGATACATATCAGCAAGTCTTTTCTATTAAGATTAGTGTAATGTGACATTTCCTGACTGGTACTCCATTATATACTGATTTTTCACAGCTCGTCCCTTCGGATAGGAACACACATAGAATGTGTGGCCAGGGCCTTTTAGGTTCTGGTTCTCATTCTAATAGGTAGATGGCGACAGATAAGTCTGTTTTACCATTAACCTGCCAATAATTTTTGTATTTTGAGGGTATGTAAAATACTATTGCGCAATGTTCATATGTGGAAATGAATGTGTTCATTGTACAGCTTTTTCCCTTGATCCATGCTTAAAGGAGAAGTATGAGGTGAGTGCTTTTCACTCACCTCATAGTTCTAGCCGACCTGTGACAATGAGACTGTCACAGGTCGGCTCAGTAGATCGGGAGGTGAGCGAACACATACCGCCTTTCTCTCACCTCTCGATCCTGTCACGTCCCTCTGCCATGACAGGGGAGGGGCTGGATTCCCCCCTCCGCCAGCGCTGACTGGCGGAACGGACGGAAGAGGGGGTGGGTACAGCTGGCTCTGCCTCTAGATAGGCAGAGCTAGCTGTCAGTCACACAGCTGGGCAGATCCGGCATAATTGTCGGGATCCGCTTCAGCTGCGGCTTCTCGGTATACCGCGAGCTACAGCTCGCAGTGTACTGAGCCTAGGGTGACGGGAGGACGCTAGTTTGTGTCCTCCCGTTACCCTAAGGAGAACCCTATGGGGAAAAGCCCTAACCCCATAGTTCTCCTTTTAATCCGAAGCTAGAAATACACGTCGCAAGATTTCGGCAACTTCAGCCACTTATGGTGGAGCGTAAATCCTGCGGGATTGAAAGCTGTGCTTAGCGATTTTGTTCAACCTCAAGCAGATGGGATTGAAATTTGCCTTCCAACCCGTTGGAAAAATCTGATTTGCTTTCGACGAAATTGCCATTTTGTTTCTGGTCTTTATTGATGATTTTTTTTTTTAAATAACCTGTATTGAAGCTGTGTATTTATAGACCAGTTTGATCGCATTCAGTTAATTGAACTAGCAGGGGGGGGCGGTTGGGGGTAGATCGCTTGTTTTTGGGCAACCACTTTTGATTGGATGTTCGATTCCTGCTTGATTGAAACTGGCCATGTGTATGAGCAGCTTAGGGCCCTATTCACACTAAGCGACATACCTTACAAGCGGATCCGCACGGCCGGGTTTGTGCGACTGTTCGGGGCGACGGTAGCGCGACGGTGACAGACGGGCTGCATTCAAAAATAGAAGAATTGCGCGACATCCGCGGGAAAAAAGGTCCTGTTACAGCGACGGGCGACATGGAGCTGTACATTAGAACAGTTCCATTGAATAACATTGGCCGGCGACTTCTCGCGATATCACGCGGAAATCCGCTCGGTGTGAATGGGGCCTAAAAGATGAAATATCATTGTCTGTCATACTCGGCTATGCCTTGTGTATGGCAGCATATGTGGACTGTCATGTTTCCAGGCCAGGTCTTAGGCTCGGTTTACACCTAAGCGACTGAGATGGTGAGCTGTTTTCGTGCGGTTGTGGCGTGTTTCTGTTCGTGCGATTTTTGCTTTGAAAACCGTGTGGTTGTCAATGCATAGAGATGTTTCTATGCATGGCGCGCAAATCGCGCAACAGCCACCCGAAAATCGCACCTGTGCTTTTTTTGTGTGACAGGCGATTTCTACCGTGCGACAAATCGCAAAGGTGTGAACAGCTTCCGGAGACTTGAATGCAAATCTCTGTTTTTTGTGCGATATCACGCAGCTAAATCCGCGCGATAAATTGCCTAGGTGTGAACCTAGCCTCATGGGAAAATCACCTTCCAGTTTTGATTTGCTGTAGCCTTCTCTCCTCTGCCTTCTTTGTCACAAGAAGAACAATGTTGATGCTGGCGTTGGGGGGTGGTGTACATTCTCAGCTGTTCCTCTGCCACCCATTCCCTTCCCCTGGCCTCCATGCACCATACACTCAAAGTCCACAATGGAAATATAGCGTGCCAGGCCTTGTCATTGTAGGAAACATTCCCACGGATGTGTGAGCCCTTCTCTAATCATAACGGATAGCTTACAGTAATTGTGTATACTCAAGTTCCTCCTACTTACACTATTCATCTGTTTATTGCTAGTTAATGGTTCTTTTGTAGACCTTCATGTATTTAATCTATACTTTATTGTTCTGCTGTATTACCTCCATTTTGAGTCCAGTCGGGCAGTTTTCCTTTCTACAGACAGCAAGTTGTGGTCTGAGAATCGGACAGGAAAATTGACAAACCAGTTGTGTTATTACTATTATTATAATACAGGATTTATATAGCGCCAACAGTTTGCGCAGCGCTTTACAATATAAGGAAGACATTACACTTACAAGTCGAGACAAAATGGGAAGGAGGGCCCTGCCCGTGGGAGCATACAATCAAAATAATTGGAACTGTCTGCCTGTAAAATATTTTTGATTAGTGTTCCCATGCCATATACCCCTGTTTAGAGACTTTGAGGTAGAACTCCAAAACTTTTAGTTGAACTTTTTGATGGTTTATGGAAGTGTTAGAACCTGGGACATGTGTTCATTGCTGTGACCCCTTTGGGGAAATAGATCCACCCTTACTATTAACAGTCATGAGCCTGGTCTTTGTAAGAACCCAGTTCGCCTGAGTTTGCCCAAACGTATTTAAACTGTGACTGCCACCCCATCCCCCCGACCAAATTGGTTGCATAGAGGCGCAGCTATGTGTCAAAAAGAGACGGGGATTGCCCCTGCCACAACTGCCACCACTTGATTGGGCTGGAAGGAGGATATGGTGGTCACTGTTTTGAACGGGCTTGGGCCAACTGGGTTTGCACCAAGCCTTTTAGTCATGGTGACCCTTGTCATCATCTGGGACAGAAATGAAAGGTGAAGTTCAAACTCTTATAGATGTCCCCTGAAATGAGGGGACTTCTCCCATTAGGGGGCACTTGTTTCAGTGACAGCTGTCAGAAGCAGGATTTCCTTTCACTTCTTGTCACACAAAGAATGCAGACAAGACTCACCGGTGAGGATTGAGACCACAATGAATAACAGAGTTTCTAACCTCTACTTATTCTATACAAACCAAAACAAGATTGGAATACTACTAAGCCCTCATTCACACTAGAAACGGCCGGCACGTGCAGCTCCGTGTTGTGTGCACGGCCGTATCGGGCAGCTCCCGGGAAGGGACAGGTGCTGCGTGTGATTAGTACAAAGCCCCCGTCCTTCTCTATGGGACTACGCGGCCGTACGCCGCCCTACGCTCACCTGCCCTCCACGTCCATGCGGGTGAGCGTACTCGTACGCTGACGGGATGGATCCTGTCTGCGTCCAAACCAGGAAACACGCACAGGCACAGACCTGCACTTGAGGTGAGCATGGGGGTCGTATGGCCACGTACTCCCATAGAGAAGGACACGGGCTGCGTACTAATCACACACAGCACCTGTCCTTCCCGGGAGCTGCTCGATACGGCCGTGCTCGCAGCACGGAGCTATACGTGCCGGCCGATTCCCGTGTGAATGAGGGCTAATTGGTTTTGTCAAAGCCACACCAGCCGATGCTTGATACTTTTTTTTTCTTCAAGGCACTTTAAAGAGAACACTGGACATTCCAGGATTTTCATGTTCCTATCACACTTGCACTTGTGTACAGGGCCAGTTAGAGAAGAAACATATTAATCACCTTCATGACTTACAAGTGCATCCCTTTCCCCCCCTTGTGCTAAAGTAGCCTATCCTCCCCAGAGGAATACCTTGCAATTTTGCCCACAGCCTCCGGTGTTTAACTTATACCAGCTTCCTATAGGGTTCTATAAAGTCCTTCTCGCTTTGGATGGTTCTACTTTGTCTTGTCCTTTTAGGTTTCATTAGAGAGTACCTTTTACATTTCTCAGCTGTTTTGTCCATCTATTACAGTACCCCATTTTATATTCCAGTGATGACGTATATGCGTTTTGTGGAGGACTACTCCGAGCCCCAGCCGTCTGTCTTCTATCAAACTCCACAGAACGAGCACATCTACCAGCAGAAGAACAAGCATCTGCGGGAGGAGTATGGCTTTAACGATTCATTCAGTAGCATGGACCCCGGGGTTGAACGAGCTCCGCCACCTGCCCTACCTCCAAAACAGAGGCAATTGGTAAGTGCAAGCCTGCTGGTCTGTCTGCAAAGTGCTGCTGCTTAGTGATATGTATGGCAGACTAATAGGCTCTCATCATACATGTAGCATGTACTTGAATATCATGATCTGCTTTTCTGCATTGACCTACTGTTCTGTTACTGATTATGTTGAAGACACGCACATCACTTACACATGACAAATCTTCATAATTTCTGTCGAGAGTTTAGGAAAACTTAGACCAAATAAATACAAAAGTTCTTTCTGAAAATGCTTGTTACCTATTGGGCTGTCGTGACTGCAGTAAATTCAGAGTTGCCAGTACGAAACAAGCATGCAGCAATGAAGCCACTGTGAAGGCAAAACTCCATGTACCTCAAAGCAACAGGTTCACTTCGCCTCCCCAGCTGCACATACCTCTCTTCCTGGTGCTCCGTCACCACTCTTTTGTCTAGTAGGAGACTAGCTGAAGCAGCTTAGAGCTTACAGGGGCTCTGGACTCTGTCACGTAGGGGGGAGAGGATTGACTATATTGAATAACACACAGCATACTGCTGTAATCCCTTACATATTTCTAGCAAACTTTTGTATAGAAACCGGGATTCTTGGTACACATGTATTGCAATACATGTTCAAACTGGCCAACTGCGTCTAAGTGATCCCTCGGTGTCACATAATTACGTGCTTATTCCTTACTTTAATAGACATATAGTGCCAATATGGGGCAGACAGACACAGCTGGAGGGATCTACAGACACTAGTCTGGTCACTGACCTGCACTGTGCAATAGAAATAGAGATCTGTCTGTGTTTAAATCAAAATAGCTTCGGTATCGAGTACCGATATTTATATTTATCTCTGCTTCATCAGCTTCTTTGGTGGTCCCCAGGTGACATTAAGGGTCTTGGAGACCCCTGATGTCTCCATAAAGAGGACCTGTTGCATATCTTTGCTATCACATAGGGGGGTTTCTTAGCCCCCTATGTGATAACAATAAAGTTAAGTTAAAAAAAATTAAAGTTGCACAAAAAAAAAATAGTTACACATGAAAAATAATTTTAAAAAAACACAATTTTTTTAAAAAGTCCCCACCCATACATACACGCCTGCAAACATTCGTCCGGTGCGGGTACATGCGAAAACGATTGCACCCATTACGCCGCACATGTTCCCTATCGCGGCGAACGTCGCAGTGAGAGCAATAATTCTAGGCCATTAATCACTGTTGGCACTAAACTGATGAGGGGCAAAAGCTTTTTAAATGTCGCCTATGGTCAATTTTGGATATGGTAGTTTTTTGTGATTTCGCGTTAAGGCTTGACATGTTTGGTGTCTGTTTACCCGACGTGACCCCGTCTTTTATATTTTACCAAAAAATTGGGTAATAATAAATGTATTATAACATAATGTTAAAAAAAACAAAATTCTCAAAATGTAAAGTAATTTTTCCTTAATATAGTAAAAAATAAAACCCCAGTGGTGATTAAATGCCACCAAAAGAAAGCTCTATCTGTCCCCAAAAAATGGTATAAAATTAATTTCAGTACAGCGCTGCATGACGGAATAAACGTCAGTCACAGTACCGCAGCGCTGAACACTGATAAATGGCCTGGACAGGAAGGGGGGTGTAAACAAATGGTCAGCAAGTGGTTAATGAGCAACTGAAGACTGCAAGTTAAGACTGCTGGTCAGCAGAGGAGTCATGAGCAGTACAGAGGTGAAACACTGTGAGGGGAAGATGACACGATTTAGGGTCGACTCAATAAGACCCCCACCACGCAAAAAAATCACAACGAAGATGGTCTTCCCAGAACACCAGCTTAGTAGCTTTAGCGCAGACTAGAGTTAAAATCTGCCTGGTTGCTGTGGTTTACTGCTCCCACCGCCCCTGCACCAGGTTTAAAAATAATCTATTGAGAAGCAAAGAAAAAGTGCTTCCTAATAAAATGAATTGCAGACATTATATTGAGTAATCCTTTCCAAAAATAGCAAATGAACTCGCCAGTTATTTCACAATACGTGGAGCAGCCACAGTGCCTCCCTGCCTCATAGATGGACTTTTTTCCCCTGTGTTAACATCCATGTAATATAACATTTTAAAACTTTACATTTTTATTTCAACCGTTACCTTTATTTCAGGAAAAAAGCAAATAATACTGCCAGACCAGTCTGTTTATTCAGCATGCCGAGCAGCAATTCATTAGAACTAGGAATGCACCAATACCACTTTTTCGGTATCGAGTCCGGGTATTCATTTTTGTTTTTCTATACTCGCTGATACCGAGTTCCCGGTGCCTTGTGCCCCGATTTATCATGTAGTCGGCCAGCGGATAATGACTGTCGCCCGGCTTACTTATTGCCTGTGAAGCCAGTGTTCTAGCGAAAGAACACCAGTTTCAGGAGCTGCCTGGCTTCCTGACAAATCAGGAAGCCGGGCGGCAAGCCAGGGGGTGCTGTTCAGCTTCATGATTTGTCAGGAAGCCAGGCTGCCTACCAACATGGGAAGCTGGCTTTCTAGCCAGTCAGGAAGCTGGGCGGTATGTCATGACCCACCTCCCGGCTTCCTGACCGGCTAGGCAGCTGGCTTCACTTGTTCCTAGGCAGCCTGGCTTCCTGACCAATCAGGAAGCTGTGAGGCAGCTCATTATGTGCCACCCGGCTTCCTGATTTGGTTAGGAACACGTGAAGCCGGCTTCCTAGCCAATCAGGAAGCTGGGACATAACCCACTGCCCGGCTTCCTGATTGGTGATCTCCCTCTGACCGGAAGTTCCGGTATCGGAGCCAAGTATCTGAGCATTTGGGCGAGTATGAGTACTTGCCCAAATACTCGGTATCAGCACCAATACTAGTATCAGCACTAGTGCATCCCTAATTAGAACAATCAGGGAGTTCAGTAATAAGTTGTCTGGTTATAGAACTGGTAAAGGGTAATTCCATCCACAACTGATATTGTAGCTTTGGGTGGGCACAGTTAGGTTGAATCACCCAACATTTTTTTGTATTGCTTGGTTCCCATATTGATGACATTTCCCTGAATTAGTTTGTGTCTCCGTCCCTTCTACAAAGCCACAACAAAGCAATCCTCCCTTGCAGATGGAATGTGCAATTATTACTTTGTTACACTATAGGGAGTCCATGGTGGGAGTGGAGGAAAACAGATAGGACACCAGCACTCCAAATTAGATGAAGAAAAGGTCTTTTATTGGCATACATGCCACATCTTGGGAGTGTGACACCATCACTTGCTTTGCTAACCACCACAGCAGCGGGAATTCTGCTGCGGATAGTTCAACCCTTAAACTACTAAAAGATTGAAGAATATGTAATATTACAGCACATCTGTAATATTAGTTTTTGGTGGGTTCGGCCCACCCTACATTTTAGTTTATCTGTTAGGCTGAGTCACTGCTGGCTTCTTATATGTTTTGGGAACTCTCAGCTCTCTGTTCTAGTTCCTGGCTGTATACCCACCTTGAAATCTGTCCCCACCGCAGCACCAGGAATATGAGACCTTTAGGTACATAAAGCTAATACATTTCCGTTTTTTTTTTGTTTTGGACTGAATAGATGTAAAGGGAAGTAAGAGTGAAGAAATCCTTTTGACAGCTGTCACCAGAAAAGGTGTCCCCATTAGAAAGCATCCTTGTTTGGGTGACATCTCTAAAGTTTTAGACTTCCCATTGTAGTGGGCAAAACGGTCACCAGTACGACTATAGACAATAAAGTATTGGCTTTGCATACAGTTACATTCTCCACCCTCTTAAAAGCTCAAAATAACCAGTTTTTGGTGGCTAACCTGTTAAAGGAGAACTATGGGGTTAAGGCTTTTCCCCGTAGTTCTCCTTAGGGTAACGGGAGGACACAAACTAGCGTCCTCCCGTCACCCTAGGCTCAGTATACCACTGTAGCTCGCGGTATACTGAGACGCCGCAGTATACCGCGAGCTGCTGCTCGCTGTATACTAAGACGCCGCAGCTGAAGCGGATCCCGACAATTGTGCCGGGATCCGCCCAGCTGCGTGACTGACAGCTGGCTCTGCCTATCTAGAGGCAGAGCCAGCTGTACCCGCCCCCTCCCTTGTCCGTTCCGCCAGTCAGCGCTGGAGGATCGGAGCGGGGAATCCAGCCCCTCCCCTCTCACGGCAGAGAGCCGTGACAGGATCGAGAGGTGAGCGAATGCCGGTATGTGTTCGCTCTCCTCCCGATCTACTGAGCCGACCTGTGACAGTCTCATTGTCACAGGTCGGCTAGAACTATAAGGTGAGTGAAAAGCACTCGCCTCATAGTTCTCCTTTAATGTATGAATTCTTTATCTATTTTGCTGTTTTCTTGTTTAAGGAGTTTGGGTATTCTATTATTATACTTTGCAATATGTTACCTGTAGACAGACTAATAAAAAAAAAAGTATCCTTGAGGTCTTTTCCAGTTGACATTGTAAATGTCTTCGAGGACCCTCAAGAATGAATCATTATGCAGCCCTATTTATAGGACTCGCCTACCCTAAGGAGGGGGAAGAATATCTTAAGGCAGATCAGCATGTTTTGGGTGTGCTGTGCAGAAGGGTGACTTGTTTGCCTTTCCTTCAAGTGTAATACAGCTGTAGTTAAACGGAAAGTGATTCAGATATTATTCACTGCTTGTCATATTGTGCAGGAAATCTATCCCCTGTCCCCCTTCATGGCCTTTAATCACAGTGCCCTGTGTGTGTGTGTTTTTGAAAAAGAGCATTTATAGCTTAACCAAAGCAAGGGTATTACTGTGAACATGTTCAAGAGGAACTCTTCTAATTATTGCTTTCATTTAAAGTAATCGCATTACTCCAGTGCAATTACGTCTTAGAAAAACTTGCTGACTAGGTCCTGATGACTCTGATAGTTAGACACATTCAGAATGATTCAAACAGATCGGACTTTTGTTTGTAAGCAGATTTTCTTTCTCAGCTCAGTAAGAACCAGCCTATCATACAGCAGAAAGCACCTTGACATGTCCATCTAAACTGAGCTTTGAGGAACATGTAGTATGTATTAAAGACTTTTAATAAAGGTGTCCTTTAAAGTATATCTAAAAGCAAAGATGTCATACTTTAGCTTAATAGTCCTTAAGTGTCATGGCTGCATTAGTTTTCTTTTTGGGGCTTTTTTCCCCTTTATTTTCACCTATTGATCTGACCAGTGAGTCTTAGTTTTCAACTTCTAAGCTGTCCAGCAAAAGTGGCAGATAGAGGGCCCTGTCACACCATCAGGAGTCCATTCCAGTGCGTTCGGCCTCCGGAATGTAACCCAGCCGGCTTATTGGCACCCGCACACGTGGCACATTAGTGCTTGCGTTCCGGGCCAGTGCGATCTGCAAAAAATGCTGCAAACACTGTTTTTTGCAGATCGCACTGAACCGGAACGCAGGCACTAATGGGCCATGCGTTCGGCTGCCGGCGATCGGGCGGGGGGCGTGGCTGCGGTGCCATTGTGTTCAATAAACCATCACACCCCCTCCCACCCCCAAAAAATCTGAGTTAGCCGGGTTGCGTTCCAGAGGCCGCACGCACTGGAATGCACTCCTGATGGTGTGACAGGGCCCAGAGGGTTGAGATACACCATTTAACACTGACAGGGCTGCTTACAATGGTCAGAGTTTATTCATTTTTGTAAAAACCTTTATCCCAAAAGATAAAAATCTGTTGCTTGAACTGCGTAGAAAGTGTTAGCTGGAGTTCCACTTTAATTTTTTATTCAAGTCCATCTAAATCTGCTAGTACACCTATCGCCACCCTCTCCACAGGAGGACAATGTTGCTGCCCAAGGGCTCCGTTCCTCCTCCATAGAGTGCAGCCACCCAAGGGCAGGTACTGTGTCACTGGCCGGCTCACCAGCTGAAAATAAAGGGGGTGGGGAGATACATAGATAACTAATGCAGCCACCACATTCAAGGATTGGTAAGCTGCAATACATTAAATTGTTATTTTTGTTGTTTAGCTACACCTTAAAGTAACCGGTTCTTACATCAACTTATTAAATTCTTCACATGAATGAACAGCAGGCCTCTAGAAGTGTCTGTGTGTACTTTTATATATCCTTCCAGAAGCTCCAAAGTTGCCGATTTCAGCTCAGACTTGAGTCTTGGCGCTGACCCTTTCACCACCTTCATGTTGCTGTAGGTCCATCAGCATGACCGGCAGCCTCACTGACACATAGCCTGGTGTGTGAGGCAGATGGGGGATGATTGTTCTTTTTAACCTTCTGAATTTGACATTTGCACACCCCAACGAATGCAAGTGCCATTGCACATATTTCTGATGCAGAAAGAGTTAATATCACCAGCGCCAACCTCAAAGCCTGATTTAGGAAATGCAATGATGCACACTGGAGTCCACTCACACTGGTCTGGGATGACCACAACAACTGAAATGGAAAAAGAAAGAGAGCGCCTCCATCGTGTGAAATCGTTTGAATTGGACGATATGAAAAGGGTAAAATACATACTCACAAGAACGACTTGGAAAACAGGCAATGCTTCTGAGGAAGGAGGCGTGTCCTCTGAAACGCGTCAACAGTTTGTCCAGCCGAATGTGTATCCTGTGATCCGGCTGTTCGTGTCTGTCGATACATACTATATGCCTGTTTTTCAAGTCGTCCTTGTGAGTATGTATTTTACCCTTTTCATATCGTCCAATTCAAACGATTTCACACGATGGAGGCGCTCTCTTTCTTTTTTCATTTCAGTATTTCTAATGCTGAGAAAGCTGGCGGTTGTGTCTAAAGGCTCCATTCATATATGGCGTTTTCACGGCATGAACATGCAATTTTTTGCAAACGCGCGGATTCCGCCCTTTGCGGCTATTACTATAGCCGCAAATGTGCGGGAATCCGCCCCTAACCTCGCGCTTGGACTATTTTACGATGTAGTAGTCTAAACATTGGAATGCATTGTTTTTGATGTTTAGCACGTTTCCGCGTGTACGAATACGCACGGAAATCCGCTTGTATGAATGGAGCCTTGCAAGATCTGTTAGCACTGGACAGTAGGGTGGCACCTCTGGTGCCTATTGGATTTCCCAGTTATATTTAGACCTACTGGGGAAACTGCAGTCAGATTTAGGTAAAACTATGAAAATACTGGTTATTAGTATTTAGTCTGTCTGACTAAATATCCATTTCTCCCAACTTGATGAAAACGTTTGCATACTGCATGTGCCTTCAACTCCGACTAGCAACACAGAGGCCATCCGGGAACCTTACAGTGCTTTCTATTGCCTGAAAATGGTGGTTCATGTTGAGTTGCTTAATGACAAGTTTACTTTAAATCCTGCTCAGGCTTTATGTTGATGTGCTGCTGCCTGTGTCTACCTTCCCTTTTTTTTGTCTCTTCCATCTGCCTCTCTATCTCACTTTTTCCAGCAGGCTCCCTTTGCTGCCTCTTCCTTCTCCTCTGTCTCGTACTGTGCACAGCCAGCCAAAGGGGTCTTCAACGCACCTGAGGACGGCAGCCACCCTCAGGGCATCAGTCTCTCAGCCTCTAACTGCTTTCTGAGCCGCCACGGCTCTTTCCCTGTGCCTTCGGTGAGTGTCTGCTCCATTGCTTGCCGCCTCTGTGGAGTGTGAGGGGAGGACTGTTGCATGTGATTAGCTCTTGGGATGTTTAGCTGTGTCTTTTCCTTAGAATGCAAGATTTAAGATTGACTTATTTATGCCTGTTCTTGTTTACTACATTTTAGTATACTGTGAATGCTAGCTAGTAACCGTGACCAGTGACGGCAGCCATTTTATATACTGATACCTCATTTAGGCTTCTGATTTTATTTATTTTTTTAGCAATTAGTGATGTCACTGAAGCAGGACACAGTAGATCAGGGGAAGCCAAACTCCAGCCCTCCAGCTATAGTGAAACTACAAATCCATCATGCATTGGCATCTGGCAGTCATGCCTGTAGTTGTCTGAGTCTTGCAGTGCCTCCTGAGACTTGTAGTTCACCACAGCTGGAGGGCTGGAGTTTGGCTACCTGCAGTAGATGTTGCTCCTTCTAACGTGTGGCCTCCTATGATGCCTCTGATTCCTTACAATACTCTGGTACAGTCATAAAATGTCTGCCTCCATTATGTCTAGGTGTTGGTTCCGTTTCAAGTTCTTGTATTAAATTTCGTACAGTAGGCCGTAGACTTTTCTTCATTGTGTTTTCTTGTGTCTTAATGCTTGTACTTGCTGTTGAAGTATCTTCAGGCCAGTGAGAGATATTAAAGTTTTGCTGTGTACAGCTCTGCTGTCCCTGCAGGCGATGAGGCAAATGTGAGCATTTCTCACTGGAAGCAGCTGATACTTCAAAATCCACTACAGCTCTGTTTATTAAAGGCCAGCCCCTCCCAAAAGTGAAAGTTGGATCCCATGCTGACTTTTTTTCTCTGGCGAGATCTCCCCTTAAAAAAATCCAGTTCTGGCATTACACAGCCAGATGATGGTGCCACGCCTCCTGATTTGAAAAGAGTGGCACCTCTGGCATTGGGCTTGTAGGCTGCGTATACACAGAATTTAAAAAAAAAATGAACGTTCAATTGATTTTCTAATGGCTAATGAGGTCAAATTGACGATCAATTTTAACTGCAGTGACAAAAAAAGTAGCAGGATGGAAAAGTTATCGCGAGCAAACAAATTAAATAAGTGAATGTGGTTTTTGTTCAGGAAATTCCATTCATTCCAAAATGGAATGTTAGAATTAAAGGAAATGTCAAACAACGTTCTTCAAGTCTCTGATGGCATTATCGAATGTGCTGATGAGATTTTCCATATGAATGTTCGTAAGAAAATCGACCAGTGTATGGCCAGCTTTAGGCACAAGCTGCAGCAGGTATTTCATGCCAGTGGGATCTCTGAGATGATGAAGTTTGGGCAGAGCTGACCTTTTGGGCATCTACTGTATTTTTGTTTATCAAAGATTAGATGAAACCCCCAGGGCAGATGAGTTCTTTGCTACCAGCGCCATCGCCTTCCCACCAGCCTACCTGTAGAAATCACACTTGTATGTCACATCGTGTTCTCTAGTGTGATGTGTATCCCTTTTAGTAAGCGCTGGATCTAATATTTTTTGGTAATGGGAATGTTACACACTTGAACAGTGGTTCCATACACTTTTATGTTCAGAAGTGTCAGGAGGTGATTGCTTTTGGCCCCAATGTGTCAGTGGGGCCTTTCCTTTTGGACCCTAAATTGTGTGGTTCCCAATACAAGATATTGGGAATGTCAGAAATAGGCCCTGGTAACCCCTTGACCCTTGGGTTCTACAGATGTTTTCATTGAAAAGCTTTCTGCTGCTTCCCCGGAAACTAATCCTAACAGCTTCCACACAATTCATTTGTTAATTTCCAGCTCAATGAATAGAATCAAAATCAGTCCCAGTTTTCAAGTAGTCTTGGTGCAGGGTCCGGTCAGTTGGGATTTACATTTTTTTTTAATCTTTGCGAGAGTTGCATATTTTTCACTCCTCAGTTACATAGTTAGTCAGGTTGAAAAAAAGACACATGTCCATCGAGTTCAACCTATAGAGATATGGAAAAAAAAAGCCTAAACAGAACGCTATGCCCACAATTACTCAATGTTGATCCAGAGGAAGGCAAAAAAACCCCCTAATAAAGCATGGTTCAGTTTGCGCCAACAGGGGGAAACAAATTCCTTCCTGATCCCATAAGGCAATCAGATATTCCCTGGATCAACAATGTCTGGTGCCTAATATACCTCTAAGAACTCAATATCCAGTAATATTCTGTGCATTTAGGAATACATCCAGATGTTTTTTTAAACAATTAACTGAGCTAGCTAGAACTAGTTCCTGGGGTGGTCTATTCCACATTTTCACAGCTCTAACTGTGAAGAATCCTTTCCGTATGCTAAGGTTAAACCTCTTTTCCTCCAAATGCAGAGTGCCCCCTTGTCCTTTGCAATGACCTTAAAGTGAATAATTTGACACCAAGCTCACTATATGGACCATTTATGTATTTATACATTGTGATCATGTCCCCCCTTAATTGCCTCTTCTCCAGAGAGAAGGTCATAGAGAGGTCCTTGTTGTGCTCAGTGGCAGGAGCACTACAAGGACCAGACTCCCTTAACAGAGAACAAATACTTGCCCAGTGTTCAAACAAAAACTGCTGCTCAGGGATCTTAATCCAGCTAGTTTTGGTACAATAGGTCTAGGCGTGGATTGCAATTACTGCTGAAGGGGAAGACCAGGGTTCAGACAGAGCCCCACCGATTGGTGGTTTCCCACCTCCAATAAAGTCATGTGACTGACAGTTGTAAGACCTCGGAACAGTGATTTCTGACGTAAAGGTGTTCTTATCCCTTCCTTTCCACTTTATAGGAATGTTCTTGGTTTTTTTTACTTGATATGCTTTTGTTTGCTTCAGGAATTTATTCATGTAAGTATTTAAACATTAACTCCACTTAAAAACATATTGATATAACCTATGTGATTGCTAAACTATCTATCTGTTTTGCCATTTAAAGTCAAGAGTAATGACCTTTCTAGTTCCAGATATATGGTTTTCTGAAACAAACCAAAAAAATAATTTGGGATAAAAATGTCAGTACTGCTCTGGGGTTGCTTTGCACACTGGTGGTATCCAGAACCCCCCTTCCCCAGACCCTGTCATTTCCTACGTATCTGATTGGCTGTCTGCTGTATACATCAGTATTTTCTTAATACAATGCCTGGACCGATCATGTGACAATAGCAAGGCCCTCCCCTCAGCACTGGGGATTTCCATGTGTGAGTTTTAGCACAGGCGAGAGCAGATAGAATTCTGAAATGTTTGCTAGAGTCATTGCAAACCATGGAACAGACCTGGAGAGAGTGGTTTTATTTCATCTTGGCAAAAGTGGAGTGACACTTTAAAGATATCATAATAGTCTTTTTTTTTTCCCCTGACAGTTACACTGAAGTTATAACTCCCAGGTTAGATTGATATTTGATATAGTAAAAAGTCAGAGAACCTCATGGGATTATGACTCTTAAGCCGTTCTCAAGCTGTCACATAGTCTTTGATTGTATTGCTGGAGGGAACTTGTGAAACGGCTTGTTTTGGTGTAGCCAGACACTCACCTGTTGGTAACTAAACTCCCAGTAAAAATAGCCCCGGCTCAATCAGCTTTTACACACTTCTCAGCTCGGAGCACTCTGCTGTGGCCAGAGCTGGGATGCACAGCATATGGAAAGGAGATTAATACAAGGAAGGGAGGAGGAATACGGCCCAGTTCCAGCTTCCCCACTGTGAGAGCACATAGCTGGGATTCCACAGGCAGACTGTGGCATGCAAGAATCTGAGGAAGGAAGGAAGGAGGCAAGGAAAGGAGGGGACGTGTGAAAGGAAGGAACCAACCCAGGAGTGAAGACATAGGGCAAGAAAGAAGCCTGTATAACATATAAGAGTATAACAAGGAGTGTTAAGAGCTGTGTAATAAATGGCTGCTATTTCTCACACGCTAGTTTTCTGGTTAGTGCCTGAATGAACTGTGTTGCTCAGAGCAACCACTTAAATGCTTCCTTTTTTATTTTTTGGGGCTGCCCTAAATATCAGTGACAGCATAATTTTGGTTGCCAAGGGCAGCTCTGCCATTCTTAAAGGAGAACTATGAGGAGTGATTTTCACTCATCCTCATCGTTCTAGCCGACCTGTGACAATGAGACTGTCACAGGTCGGCTCAGTAGATGGGGAAGTGAGCGAACACATACCGGCATTCGCTCACTTCTCGATCTAGCCCTGCAGAGAGCGGTGACAGAAGAGGGACTGGATTCTCCCCGCTCCGATCCTCCAGCGCTGACTGGCGGAACGGACGTGGGAGAGGGCGGGTACAGCTGGCTCTGCCTCTAGATAGGCAGAGCCACCTGTCACTCACGCAGCTGGGCGGATCCAGACATAATTGTCGGGATCCGCTTCAGCGTCTGAGTACCGCTGTAGCTCGCGGTATACTGAGCTTAGGGTGACGGGAGGACGCTAGTTTGTGTCCTCCTGTTACCCTTCGGAGAACTATGGGGAAAAGCCCTAACCCCATAGTTCTCCTTTAAGGTCACTTTACTGTTAGTCTTTTTGGAAGACTATAATAAAACTGACTGTTGAAGGTGCAGACTCCAAGGTGGTCATCCTCCCTTATCTACATAGCGAGTGACGGGCTTGGAAGTATAGAAGCTGTGTGTTCACTTGGTTCTTGTTCTGGGTCTGGTAGTCTGCAAAAATGAAAGCCTGAGGATGACAGTACTGTGCCTTGCACCTTTTAAAAAGACTGATTCATTCCCTTTTAAGTAAGGCTCCTTCTTAATAACCCAGGGACTTCTTAATCGGAGAGCAACCATAAAGCAGTGATGCATATTGGCCAATCAGAACTCTCCTTCCATCAATTTGGAGCAATAGTCCTGAAACTGTAGTCCATGGTCCTTTTAACCCCTTCATGACTGAGCTAGTTTTCAGGTTCTGTTCATAAATGACTGACACATTTTTTACATTTTTGCTGTGTGATTCTTCCACGTCAGTAATATACTTTCTTACTAAATGTACCCACACATATTATATATAGTTTTTTAGAGGACAGATAGGGCTATATAATTATATCACATATGTGTACCTAGCCCCTCACTTAGTTTGAATAAAATAAAAAAAATGAGGAAAAAAAACTAGAAGAAAACACTTTCTTCACAAGTTTTGATTATTATTATTTTTTTTAGAATTTTTTAATATTAATTATAGTATACAAAATATATTTATATATAATTTATATTTTCCTAATTTTGTTTTACACTTTATTTTTATTTTTTTACACTTTGTAAAAAAAATAAAAAAATAAAAAAAAAAACTTTTTTTTTTTCTTGTCAGTTTATATCAAGCAATCACTATGACAGCTTGATAAATTAACTTTTTTATTTTATTTTTGGCTATTAGGCTGATCCAAACTTAGGAACAGCTAATAATAACCTTAGAGACTGATCCTGACTTTAGTCAGATTCAGATCTCACTAAAAGCTCTTTGATCGTGCCTAGACGATCAGAAATGATACATTTCACTCAAAAGATATACATTGTATCTTTTGAGTGAAATGTATCTAAACATCGGGCTCTCGAGCTGTCAAAACAAATAGCAGAGAGGTGAGGTGAGTCACTGCTGCCTCTCTGCTATTTTGAGCTGTCAAATACGGGATCGCAAATTGCGGTCCTCTATTTGCATGTAACGGCTTCATTCTTTCATTAATGAAAGGAAGAAGCTTTTACAAAAAGCTTAATTATTTCATTAATTAATGCCTCAATACTGAGACATTAATGAATGACTGTTAAATGCTGAGAATCAGCAAATACCGGCATTACAAAGCCTGATATAACTCGTCACGTACAGTGTACGTGGCCAGTCATATAGGCACAAAGTGACAGGACGTACACTGTACGTCTCCCGTCACGAAGGGGTTAATGAGCTTCAGGCTTGTGATGGTCTGTGGCCTTAATCTAACTTGGGTCAAGCAGGATTTTGTGCCTGTGGGTTGTGGATTGGTGAAACTGCTATGTCTTCAGTTTTGCCAGGAGTAAAGAAGAGCGCTTCAGTGTATAAGCCATTCAGGTCAGGAGCATAGGAAAGATGGCAACCAGAGCCAACCTCTATCGACACGCTGTGTCTGCCCTGGGGTCCCACTCCAGTTAGTACTCCAGTTTTATCGTCAAGTGCCAGACGCTTACATGGAATGTGTGTTCACGTTTGTGTGGTTCTATTTACTAAACAGATTTGCGTCAGTCTCAATGCATCAGTGCAAAAAGGGGGAATGAAAGGTAAATGACAACCCAATCAAAAACATTTGTGATTTGTAAAGCTTTTATCATAATGACTGTTACAGAGGCCTGCCACTGATTTTCTGCTCCTAGGTCTCTAACAAACAGGACCTGCAGAGCTTAGTGGTTATATATAAATCAGTAGAATGACAGGTAGGCTGCCGTTAATCGTTATGCTTCATATGTACAGTACATGCCTATAGTGACTGAATTAAGAGTGGATTTTGATGTCTCCCTCAGAGTGTAAATGAACTTAGCCTAGGTGACATTGTTACGGTCAATGAATGTCCTTTTGTGTCGGCTACTAAACTGCTTTTACACTAATCTGCTTTTCTTTTTACCTTTTCTCTTTCTCCCCTGTCTTCCTGCCCATCTCCTCTTCCCAGTACAAATCTGTATTTCGCTCCTACTCCCAGGACTTTGCTCCTCATAGCCAGGCTCCTGCCCTCCCCCTGCTGAGTCCTGCCATCTTCTACACCTCCCGATACCCCCTCCCAGATTCTGTGCCCCCCCTTCCTGTTGTGCCTCCAGCTTCCCTCTGTCCTCCTTTAGCCTCCTCTCAGGGCAGCAGTGTCTGCGGGACCCCTCCTGCTTGCCTTCCTTTTGAGCCGCCTTTCACCGGCTCTCTCCAGACGTCAGCGGTGAGAACGGGAGGGGGCTCGGCCGGACGGGTTTAATGGGGGCATTTGTGAATGGCAAACCAGCTTCTTGTCTGTATTCCATTCTCATCAAGCCTACACTGTGCTGCTTCAGCTTTCATTGCCTCCCTGTGCTGTCTGTCTGTGTGCCTAGCGTGCTCATTGTACTCATACAATAACCATTTACGATGAAAGGAATATTTCCATTAGCATCACCAACTCCTTTCCTGAGTACAGGTCAATGTCCTTCCATGGTTTTATGACATGAATTCTGAATTGGGAACTAGTCTGACTCATGATAGATTGTGAAAGAATGATGGTGATTGTCCAGAAACTCTGTTATTAACTGTTAAATGTAATCCAGAGTGTTACATTTCCCTTATTTTTATTCATTTTGTTTTGGAATTTGGTACCACGGTTATTAGTTTCTAGATGCAGGTAAGGAAGTCTTCAGTAGTGGTAATCGTAGGTGTGGTCTAAACTTCAAACCCAACTTTATCCAGAAAGTTTTTGTTTTGAACAATGTGCAGAAGGGCTATAATTGCACACATATTCTATATAATATTCTATAGATCTACCAACAACCATATAGTGAGTGGGCCCACCTGATTTGGATACACATTATATAGACTGGTAGTACCTCATGTTAGGGTCCCCACACACCTTACAATAATCGTACGATAATCGCGGGAAATCCCGCGATCGTACGATTATGGTAAGGTTCAGGGAGTGTGTGTGTGTGTGTGTGTGTGTGTGTGTGTGTGTGTGTCTGTGTGTAGAAAATTTATTTTTCATATTAAAATAAAAAGATGGTAAGAAAAAAAAACCCCAAAGAAATCCACTAGCTTTAGATTTGTTGTCTAAACTCCCAGTGAGTAGATTTTTCTTCACTTTCTGTCTTGATGACAGGATAGGTCAGAAGGAGAGGAAGAGATATGAAAGGTCCTTTTGTATATTGGGGAATGCTTAGAGATTTTTATTGCTTCCTTTCTGCCCCAATAACCCCTGTTGCCCTAATTTCCTGTCGGGTGTCTGAAGTATAGGAAGTAAGGGAAAAATCTCTGCAGTGACAACAATAAAAACCTGATAAAAAGTTCTAACCCTTCACCACTCTATTCAAAGAGCTGGGCTTTAAGGTGGGTCTACTCTGTATTAGGGGCCCTGCGTTCCTGCCTCATAAACGCTACTTTTGCATATCTTTGTTAAAAGAAATCCTGACTGCTGCATCTTTGGTACAATTTCCAGCAACAAAAAATAAAACTGCTCCAAGTGTCTTTTAGTGCCAGGCATTTCACCGAAAACTTAGGCATTGGTCATGCAATGTCTTCTGAAGGTGTTGCAGCCATATGTGTCTGGACATCTCTTAAACCCTCTTTGGCTAAGATCACATGACCAGAACGCATAAGCAAAATGGAATCAGAACAGGAAGAAGCAATTTCTTCTGGATAGATAGGTGTTTGCCTTTGGTCTGCCACGTTTTGGATGACATATGACTCTCCAGAGGGTCAAGGTAATTTTGTGTTCTTAATGCACAACAGATCCACTTGAAATCATGCCTTAACTTTAAAGTGACCCTGGCATGCCGTATATTTTCCCATCTAATAGTACCGGTACATAGAGGCTGTTGTACACTTAATTGCTCTCGTCTCCTACTACAGCTCTCTAGCAGCTGTAAAACTGTGTGTAAAAACCCACTTTACTCTTTTATTGTTTCAGAAGTCTGATTGCATATAACAGCATCAGACCTCTTACCTGATTGGCTGCAATTGTTTCTTTCCTATTGGCTGACTGCTCAATGTGAGATGCTATGACGGCAAACTGTCAGGCAATAGAAAAAACAATATTTCCAACCATCGGAAAAGGAAGGATGTTGTCTTACAACTTCTTCTATGCCTGGGTACTTTTAGATGGGATAAAAGAAGGAATACAGAGAGTCAGTTTAAACACTACCTGTATTAAAACTATGCTGCATTTAATAAACATTTAATTTGCAGTTTTTCTTCTACAGTGCTGGTGCCGCAATTTATTTTAAATGCAAACTCCACTTAAAACGTATTTTTAGCTTGAGATGTGCACATAGGGATTATATTCCCCATCAATGTTTTGTTTTCTCAAGGACTCTCTTGATTAGATTTCCCTTTGGTTTGTGACTCTCCCCCCTTGGCAGCTATACCAATTCCATGTATGCTCATTAATGTGGAGGGTTCCTTAGAACGTGGCATCATTTTGTACTTTTGCAATGGTCACAGCCGAAGAGAAAAACTGAGATTTTTTTAGTGGACATCTCTAACCGTGGTAGTGAATAAGAGATGGAAGCTAGAAACTTGCTAGACAGAAGTCATAGTTTACATTAAGCTTAGGTGGAGTAGGTTTGTGAGGAAATATTGTATAAGCATCTCAAAACAATGCCCCAGATGGAAATGAGAATAGCTATGAATTAGCGATTCGGTTAACTGTAATGCATTTTGCAAATGGGATTGCTTGACATCCCCTTAGGATTGGTAACCAGGGTACTCAAAACAATTTAGGAAGCAATGGGTTGTTGTGAATTATTGCAGTGCCTTTGTGATCTTGCTATGAGTATTACGTAAGGGATCTAGTGCTGCAATTAACTCGGGAAATGTGTTTTTCTTTTTTGGTAGGTCACTTATGAATCAGTGGCAAATTAGTGTAAATGTGACAACTTTTCATTTGCATTCCTGTACTGCAGAAAGGACATGTACAATCTGCCTTTTATATTTCTGTAGCCCATCAGTGAAAGATAAGATGCCATTAGGGTAACATTTTAGACTGCAGTGCTTTGGATTTGGTATTGGAAGTGGCCGACGCATGTTTATGCTCTGTGCAGGCCACTGGGTGCCAGCCTTACTTTAGGGAACAGTTGGAATTACAGCAAGACCAGTTGCCTTGACTTATTTATTTTTTTTACAGATAGTTGGAATTGGCCTCTGCACAGCTCCTGGGTAGGCCATAGACATTTTTTAATTCTTTCCCAATCCAGCCATCTTTGGACTAATTGCAAGAAAATCATAGTATGTCCATGGATCCATTTAGACTAGATCAGTTCCTTATTTAGAATCATGTGCACTTACAAACTGTTAGGAACTTTTGCAAGTGTTTCTAGTTTTCACCTGACCCTACACTTCTTGTGCTGCCACAGCGCACTACTACATTTACAAATATGTCATGCTTTTCCACATCTATTTGATGTTGTATTTGCTGTGCAGCTGAATGCAATCTCTTGTACCATGTTGTCAGCCATTTTAGGCTCAGAAGAGATGCTACAGGAAGTCGTAAGTTGGAATACGTCTCCCTTTTTAGTGCAAACATCTTTAGTGCTTATACACATCTAAACATTTTACATAACTATGTGAATATTTGTGAATGTGTTTAACAGTATTATATCAAAATTGTGAATTGGGTTTGAAGACCCCCTTGAGAACAATTTTTCTTCTGATGGAATTAATTATTGATCTGAAAACATCTGAACCAGCATAGCAGATCCACTGCCAACCATTCCCTCCACCCTGTCTATTCCCATCGTAGAATGAAAATTCCAATGAGGAGGCGGGCGATGGGGAATACGTCAACCTGCATTCCTCCGGTCAAAGCAACGGAGCTCCCCTGCCCAGTGATGGTGTAAGTAAAGACGCAGCTGGGGTGAAAGGGGCACCAATGGGAATTAAAGATATACCCAGCCCTCTGCATGCCCAGCATTATGCAACGCATGCCCCTCTGTCCTCCCTGCTGCGCCGGACCTTTGCACCGCATGACCGTGTAAAAAAAAAAAAAAGTACCATCCTGCCGACCCCCTTCTCAGACTCCTCCTTTACCTAACACTAACTTTTCAGTCCAGTATTAAGATACCCATGCACTCCCTGAAATTAACATTTTGTGCATGACTTTACCCATGAGCTGTTTTCCATGTAAGAATGACACCATAATTTCATTTATGCCATGGTATTAACTAAATCGTGCATTCTTATGTGTGGTCACCATATGTTTAAAGCCAGCTGCTTTACTCAAATGTTATTTTAAACCTGAGGATTTTTGTGCTTGGTCTTCAGGGCAAAGAACCCATGGCTAAAGCTGACGTGTTCAAAATTTAGTTCATCTCTGCAGCAACTTGATTACTGGAAAAACTCACAGTAGCCAACAAAATGCAGTCTTCTGAGCACAGCAAAATCCTGAAAGTTAATTGGTTGGAGATGGTGGGGTTGATTTATTGATGGCACAGGACATGATCATTTTGCAAGCTGAATTTTAACTGGGCAATGTGATTTTTCACTTTTCTTAAGGTGTAATGTGAGGCTAAGTGACATTTAATTTTGCATGTACCAGCCCATGTTCAAGGAACATGTAGAATTGTAAGACTTTAATATCCTTTCTCATGGATGATTGGAGTTAGCACAGCATTATCCCATTTACTAAGCAAAGTGAAAATTCACTCTGCAAAGTGAACACGCCGTACGCCTTAAAAAAAAAATCAACCCTTTTGTGTCTTAATTATTCTGCGGGCTTTATGATAACTGAACTCCATCTATGAAAATTATGTTTCAGTGGTAGCTCTCCAGTAATGTTTATATATCTGAGAACAATATGACCAAGATGACGACTCCTCTTGGTGACTCTGATGCCAAAATAAATGTGTGAGTAAAAGAAGTACCTGTAAATGTTCCCTCTTCTGCTGCCCACACCGCTTTAACAGAAGTCCTAAGCTGAAGCCAGCACTTCTGAAAGTTTTAGTGACAGTTGTTTTCAGTGTTAAAGATTTTAAAGACACAGCTGTTCATAGTTCCAGTAAGTAAGAGAGCTTAAAAACCCTTTTTTTGGATGCTCTAGGCTGTTTTTGTCTTGGCTAGAAGAACCTGCGCAGCATTGGAAACCCAAAACCTTGAATTTTAAATAGCAAATACATGGGCACCCTCCAAAGCTAATTCCATTACAACTAATTAAATGCCCCTGGCTTTGCTGCCTATACAGAGTCACTTCTTACCATGGCTGTCAAATGTCAGGCTGTGATGGAGCTACTGAATTACTTACTGTACCCTAAGATTATCCATAGATGGGCAGACCAGGCCTCTTAATAGTTGTACTTGGGTGTTCAAGGCTATGGGACATGCAGACAGCTGCCAACAACCCATATTGCTTTGGGGTCAATAGGAACAATCCTCTGTAGTTGCATACACACACCAAAAAGGCTCTTGAACAATTGCATCTCCCCACCAAAATTATATTCAAGTTGGTAACTAGCACTAAAAGATAAAAACCACTGGCGCCAAATGTGACCGTTCTTGAGGGAAGAGGGAGAACTCCAGAGGCACGGGGGCAGCTCCTCACAGTCACGGAAACTGGATATCTAGCAGAAGAGAAGCAAAAGGAGCACCTCCATAGTGCAAAAAGAGATTTTATTCAATAATAAAAATAGCTGAAATGGACTCGCAAACAACCAATGGTAACATGCTTATAGTGGTTTGATCTCAGGATGGAGGATGGACGAAAGGGGTTCGGCCCCAGAAATGTGTCAACCGGAGGAAGATGTGCAGCTAGAAGGACTTAGCTCTTCATCAGCACTTTTAAAGCCTCATTTGTTCGTCCATCCCCCACCATCCTGAGATCATATCACTGCAAGCATGTTGCCATTGGTTGTTTTTGGTGACATTTCAGCTATTTTTATTATTGAATAAAATCTCTCTATTTACGCTATGGAGGCGCTCTTTTTTTTTTTTTTTTCCAAATCTTTATAATTTTATATTTATACAATCAAAAACATATAAAACATATATACATGTCCACACAAACAAACATAAGAAAAAGAGAATTTCCTGAATTACCAATATCACATATTTCTCCAGCCTCAACCAAAAAAAATCTAAATAAATTGGATACCCTGTTAATAAGCATATTTCTATATTCCAAAACCCTCCCCCAAAATTCCCACCCTAAGGCCTGGTTCACACCTGGGCGTTTTACAGCGTGTTCCTACGCTCTGTAAAATGCTCAACATGTGAAAACCAATGATTGCCTATGGACATGGATCCCACCTGGGCATTTTAGAGGGTGAAGGAACGCGCTGCATAACGCACTACGCCCAAAGAAATACAGGAGCTTCTTTGGGGCGTATTTGCAGTGCGTATCCATTGGAATACAGCCAGGTAGCCCTCGGATACGCACGTTTGTCGCGCTGTTTTTTTTACCGCGAATGGCGGTAAAAATGTGCTGCGCGACAAATGCGCATATTCGATACGCCTAGGTGTGAAGCAACTCACATAGCAACTCAAGATTATAAACCACTAATGTGCCTCTGCTAAGCATATACTCTGAATTCTTCAAACGGTCTAGCAAGAGGGGATTTTCAAGAAAGGGAAGTCTCCAAATAGATTTTGTGCAGATGGAAGCAGAGGGTAGTGGTGATGAGGACCAGTTCCCCAAATGAGTAATAGCATGGGAGCCATTTTTGTATTTATGTATTTATGATGTTTCCAAGCTGTTAGTACCTTTTTGCCACTAGATTCTCTTTCCTTAGTAACCACATATATTTATTTAAAGATTAACTACACCGGTATTTTTAAGGTTGAATATAGTATGGAAAGAGTTCTTTGGTCCCTTTAAAGATATTGCCCTGGCTGTTAGGGTATCACTGAGACAGGAAGTGATGACAAATGTTCCCAACGGGGACCCAGTTATAAAAACCTGGCAGATTCAGACACTTACCAGCTGTGCACAAAGCTGAACAAAGAAAAGTTTGGGCTGGAGTTGGGAAGAAATAGAAGTTTGTGCAGTAAGAATAGACTGCAGGACTGAACACTAAATATAGGAATTAGATTGCTAGCTCTTTTCCCCACTTTGTACACATGCGACACCTTTCACCAGTGTTACCAGTGTGACACTGGTGGAATCTGTTCATTGAGAACTGTGAAAATCGATCTGCTTGTGGTGTCTGAACTGTATGTAATTGTTCCTTTAGATCTGAGCACATGAGGCTAGTAAAGTGCTATCCTTTATTTTTTTTCATTCTTTTTTTTTTAATTCTTTATTTCAAGATTTTTCAACTTTTTCCAACAAGTAAAAGAACAGGTATTACAGGTAATAAACAGCATGACACAAACATAGCAGCATATTCTGTGGGTATAATGTTATCATCGTAAGCAGCTTATATGGTAGTCATCAGTCATGTAAACATTTCAATTTCCAGTGGAAGATACACATATGGAATGGCCGCACCTACTTAGAGGTATATGGGTATCGTATAGAAACCTTAGGTAGTGTGAGGTTCATCTAAGATTAGAGGAAGGTGCCGCGTATCGGCGTGGGCCCGGGTGAAACTAGGGGGCCTAGCGCCAGCATCGGCTCCACCATCTTCCACTGTCGGTTATCTAAGCAGGCCACAGAAGTGTTACCAAAAAGGAAGGGGGGATGGAGGGTGCTAGATTCTAGCTAGGGAGGGGTAGTTGTAGCCAGCATTGGCAGAAGGGGGAGAGGGGGGCAGAGCAGGTAGGAAAGAGGGGCGGTATAGAGGTATGGAGAGAAGGAGGGTGGGAGATGAGGTTAGTGGACCAGAGGGCCAGTCGCCAGTCCCCGGGCAGCCGCCGTCACGAACTTGGCCGCATCCTACCTCTAGAGGGGGCCTTGTAGCAGGGCATGAAATTCGGATGTCTGCGTAAAAGCGTTCCAATAGAACCACGTCCTGCAATGCTTAGCTTGTTGGCCTCTTCCAGACCAGACCAGGTCTTCCATTCTCTCCACCTCTCCAACTTTATGAAGCCACATGGACACCGTGGGCGTCTGGGATAATTTCCACAGAGTTGGGATACAACTCCGTGCTGCATTCAGGAGGTGTGGGAGAATAGACGTCTTATAGCTTTTCCTGGGGAAGGAGTTGTGATGAAGGAGAAAAAAGGCTGGATCCTGAGGGATGTCCCTATCGGTAAATTTGCTTAGTAGAGACTTAACTGAAGACCAAAACGGGGCCACTCTGGGGCATGTCCAGAAGATATGGAGCAAATCTCCCGGAGCTTCCTGACAGCGCCAGCAACTGTTGGGTACAGAGGGATACATCGAATGGAGGAGCTGGGGGGTCCTGTACCACCTAGTAAGCAGCTTAAATCCGGATTCCTGGATTTTCGTGTGAATGGATGATTTAAAGGTAAAGTAGTGGATTCTCGTTATTTGGGCAGGTGTGAAACTGATCCCCAGATCCCGCTCCCATTTTTGGATATAGACGGGGGTGTTCCCTGCTACTGGGGTAGTCAGTAAAGAATACATGTAGGAGACCGCGTGGCGCAGATGTTCTATGTTGTCACATTCCGCTTCAAAAGCAGTGAGTGGTCGGGAGAATTCAGTGGCAGGGGGTAATGTGTGAAGGAAGTGAGAGAGCTGAACGTTCCTCCAGAAGCCAAGTATGGC